AAAAAAGAGTAATTGGGTCTGGGAAGGTGGCTCAGTGGTAGAGTGCTTGCCTCGCATGCATGAGGCTCTGTGTTTGATTCCTCAGCACCACATAAGCAGAAAAAGCCAGAAGTGGCGCTGTGGCTCAAGTGGTAGAGTGCTAGCCTTGAGCTGAAGAGTTGAAGGACAGCGCCCAGGCCCAGAGTTCAGGTCCCACGACCAACAACAACAGCAACAACAAAAGAGTAATTATATCCTTGGTAAAAAATGTTTCAAAAACACAGCAATCTATTTTCCTGCCTCTATGGTGTAATCTAATTTACTAATATTGATGAATCATAAGCTTATATTATTTCAGTCTTAAAACAACAAACTGTCAAAATTCATGACTATATATTATATATAATAAGTTATCTAGGTAAATATAGATTCTAGTAACTATGTAGTATTCTTTTCTTTTTTTTTTTTTTTTTGCTAGTCCTGGGGTTTGAACTCAAGGCCTGGGCACTGTCCCTGAGCTTCTTTTCTCAAGGCTAGCACTCTACCACTTGACAGAGCCACTTCTGGCTTTTTGTGTTTACATGGTACTGAGGAATCAAACTCAGGGCTTTATGCATGCTAGGCAAGCACTCTACTACTAAGCCACATTCCCAGCCCTGTGGTTTTCCTTTCCACATAAATCCTGTAATGTCTGGAGATTTTCTTTCTTTCTTTTTTTAATATGTTTTTTATTGTAAAGATACTGTACAGAGGAGTTACAGTTACATGAGTAAGGTAATGAGTGCATTTCCTATGGAGCATTGTTACCCCTCCTTTGTTTTCCCTACCATCCCTTCACTTCCCACCTCCCCAATTCCTCCCTTCCCCCTGAAGTTGTAAAGTTTGTTTTCAACATAGTGTCTTGTACATCTCATTGTTACCATAGCTCAGTGGCTTACGCCTGTAAACCTAGTTACTCAAGCAGCTGAAATTTGAGAATCAAGGTTTGAAGCTAGCTCAGGCAGGAAACTCTGTGAAAATCTTAACTCCCACTAACCAGCAAAAAGTTAGAAGTGGTGGGGTACTGATGGCTTACACCTATAATCCTAGCTACTCTGAGATCTGAGGATTGAGGTTCAAAACCAGCCCAGGCAGGAAAGTCCTTGAGACTCTTATCTCCAATAAACCACCAAAAAACCAGAAGTGGTGCTGTGGTTCAAGTGGTAGAGCACTAGCCTTGGGCTGAAGAGTTGAGGGACAGCACCCAGGCCGAATTCAAGCCCAGGCAAGAAAGCCTGTGAGACTCTTATCTCCAATTAACCACCAGAAAAAAACAAACAAACAAAAAAGAAAAACAGAAGCTGATCTGTGGCTCAAAGTGGTAGAGCACTAGCCTTGAGCTCAGAGCCAGCAACCAGTTCTGGGCTCAAGCCTCAAGACTACCACCAACAACAACAAAGAAAGCTAGAAATGGAGTTGTGGCTCAAGTGGTAGAATGCTGGCTTTGAGAAAAAAAATTCTAAGGAACAATGCCCAGGCTCTGAGTTCAACCTGCACTACCACCAAAAAAATAAAAAGAGAAAAAGGCATGGATAAAAATGCTAGTTAAGCCAGGCACCAGTGGCTCACGCCTGCAATCCTAGCTACTCAGGATGCTGAGATCTGAGGATTGCGATTCAAAGCCAGCCCGGGCAAGAAAGTCTGTGAGACTCTGATCTCCAATTAACCACCAGAAAACCAGAAGTGATGCTGTGGCTCAAGTGGTAGAGCGCTAGCCTTGAGCTGAAGAGCTGAGGGACAGCGCTCAGGCCCAGAGTTCAAGCCCCACAACCAACCCCCCACCTCCAAAAAAAAAATGCTAGTTAAGGGAGACATGTGGTAGTCAAATTTCAAACAAGGTAGCCATGTTCAGATCTGGTTGTATGCATCCCCTGAAAAGTTGTAAATCTGAGGGGAGTCCCAGCCAGTGGCCTTCTTCATAGCCACTCGTTATTAATCATCCATCTGAGATATAGTCCAAACTCTTGACAGCACAGAGGGTAAGAGGACCTCCTGGGCTTTCCCCATACACAGAGGAAAGTGGCAAGGCCCCATGGGGTTTCTTGGAGGTGCTGAATGCTGACACAAATGCTTAATAGTAGAATTCCAAGAAAAGAAACACCTGCTTCCCAGCTTGCTACTATTTTGTAAGTGCTACAGAAGAAAACAAACGAGGGGCCACGAGAAATATCACGTTCTTCTGCAATGTCTTTACCATTCAAGGCTTTTCCGTTAGGGTGATTTCATAATTACTTTTCTGGCAGGCTCCAGGGGTTCTTGGACTCCCCAGGGGTGACACAGAAAACCATGTGCTCTCTCTAAAAAAGGCCCCACCCCTGGGGCCGAGCCCAGAAGCAAACTAGTCTCTGGGAACAAGAGATAAAGCAATGGGCCAGAGTATTGCTGTGGTGCTCTGCAGCAAGAAAGACCACATAGAGGATTTCAGGTGCAAATTTAAAGCTAAAGAGGACTTGATGTGGTCCCCCAACAAATTTCTGAAAGCTCTGGTTTCAGGCAACTGTCCAGAATATATATTTCTCTCCTGACCAGCTACAATGCTTTTGATCCAGAACACTGTATGTAAGCTTGGAAGTGTTGGGGTGCTTTATTCTATTGTAGTTTAGCTTGAGCTTATCGGAGGATACAACAATGCTCTTTCCTTCACTCAAGAATTGGATGATCACTATTTTTCATTACGAATGACACAAATGTGAAAACCTCATAGTAAATGAGAAAAGAAAGCAATCGGAGTGATATGCTCATTTTGAAAGGAATGAATGACAAAAAATGAGTAACTTTCCCTTTAGTATTTTGATTAATGGATGAGGGTGTCATGAAATCTCAGACATCTTGGATGTGATCTTGAATCCACAATATCGTGGAGGTACTGGGGATGGAAGCCAGGGCTTGTGCATGCTGAACATGTGCTCTATCACTGAGTACTACCCATCCATAGCTTTTTAAAGATCTCAATAGCCAAGGTTGCAAATAATTTGAGGAATAGGAGACATATACCCTGAACATCAGATCTTAAGCTGAGTCTTACTTGTCTAAAAGACTTTGCTCCTTGAAGGTAGGCTGCAACCTAATTGGTATCTAATGTCACATCTCCACACATGAAGTTTTGATAGAAAGAGAGAGAGAGTATGTGTGGGTATGCTAATTTTGTGCAGTAGAAAAGTGTGAACTCCTTGAGTTCTTTGATGACTTTGATTAGGGCTGGGAGCAAGGCCTTGAATTCAAATCCCAGTGCCACCAAAAGAGTAAAAAAGACACTACAATTAACTTTTTTTGTGGGTTCTGGGGCTTGAACTTTGGGTCTGGGTGTTGTCTTTGAGCTCTTCAGCTCAAGGCAAGCACTCTACCACTTGAACCATAGTGCCACTTCTGATTTTCTGGTGGTTAGTTGGAGATAAGAGTCTCAAGGACTTTCCTGCCCGGGCTGGCTTTGAACCACCATCCTCAGATCTCAGCATCCTGAGTAGCTAGGGTTACAGGTATGAGCCACTGGTGCCCAGCTACAATTAACTTCATATATGTCATTACAATATAAATCTGGGACATGACATTTCAAGACCTCATGCTCCATTCAGGTATTACTGTTTTTGCCACTGTGCTCAGGGAGTAAAATATTTTCCCAATGCCAAGAACAGAGTTAAAGTCTATTTTGCATTTGACATATTCTATCCACACCAATAATGAGATCAGAAAGAGAAAATGCCACTTAGAGACCCAGAAAGGGAAGAAGAAATAGAATGATACACTTTCTTTGCTCTTACATCACCACCTACAAAAGAAGTATATTATAAACTTGAATGGATACTGAGAAACAAATTTCATTAGGGGAGCCTTTATCCTTTTATGTAAAATGTTCACTATATCTTCTGAATCACCAGGGAAGGTACAAATACATAATAGATTGATTTCTGACACTGGGGCTTGAACTCAGGACCTTGAGCTCTTCCTTGGCCTTTCTGTTCAAGGGTGGTGCTCTACTTCTTATGCCACGCCTCAATTTCTGGCTTTTTGTAGGTTAATTGGTTATAAGAGATTCACAGACCTGTCTACCCAAGCTGGCTCCAAACCTGAATCCTCAGATTTCAGCTTCCTGAGTAGCAAGGATTACAGGCATGGGCCACCAGTGCACTGCACAAATATATACTTTTAAAAACCACCACCACAACAGTATTTTTACAATAATAATATTTAAAAAAACACAACAGCACTGCTGCTTAATTAGGACAATGTAAGTTCTGAGGAGATAATAACTGAAATATGAAATTCTGGTTTTCTGTATGAGTTACAGGCCTTATTTATTAGTCCCTAAGCAGATCTGTACAGAAAACATCTCTGAAAATAGGTTGCTCCTAAAACTAACTAAGCACTGGGCACTGGTGTCTCACACCTGTAATCCTAGATACTCAGGAGGCTGAGATCTGAGGATTGTGGTGTGAAGCCAGCCTAGGTAGGAAAGTCTGTGGGATTCTTTTCTCCACTAAAACTACCAAAAGAGAAGAAAGTAGAGCTGTAGCTCAAGTGGTAGAGCACAAGCCTTGAGCAAAAGAAGCTCAAGGACAGTGCCCAGGCTGAGTTCAAACCCCAGGACCAGAACGAACACACACACATACACACACATACACACACACATACACACACACACACACACACGCAGAAAAACAACCAAAAATACCCAAGAAGATATTTGCCAATGCAGGCTTTGGATTTGACAACATATGATCCAAAACAAGGAAATACGGGGGCGGGGGGGGGGAGGTAGAAGGAGAGGGAAGATTCCAGGAACAATGACCCCACCAATGAACCCAGAGTTAAGAGTAGAAAGAATGAGTAGAATTGATTTAATCTGTTGCCCCTTGGTTAAAAGGGCTAAGAGATAGTGCACACAGGAAAGAAGAAACAGATCATATGACGAGAAATATCTCAGGTTAGAAAGAGGAGAAAAGCTAGGCCCAGTTAATTGTTTTCTGAGGATGCTCTTGTGTCACCTGAAGTACTGCCAGCGGTGTGCACTCTGATCCTCTTCGGAGGGCTCCTCCACACCAACTCTGGGCAGTAGAAAAGGGACCATGAGTATGATGGGAACAACAGGGGAGTCAGGAACCCTGGCCCCAATGACCCAAACCATATCTATGAAGAGGCCATTTCGCTTTGTATGTAGATCCAAATTCTCTTTTATAATTGTTTTGGGAATGGGACCCAGAGCCTCATGCATGCTAGGCAATCTCTAAGCTACATATCCATTTTAAATTGTCCCCATTCTCTAAAACTCAGAGAGATAAAGGGGTGGCTAAAAACTTGCTTCTCAGCTTTTTGGCTAAGATCAAGTGCAGAAGTGGCTAAATGTAAGTTTAAAGCAACAATGTTAGAAGCTGGGGGCTCAGCCATCCACATCTGTAATTTTGGCTACTTAGATGGCAGAAATCTGGGCTGCTATTCAAGGCCAGCCCAAGCAAATATTCATGAAACTTCCATCTTAACTAATAAAGCTGGATGAGGTGACATGAGCCTGTCATCCCAAGTACCCAGCAAGTGTAAATATGAGGCTCAAAGGTTTTTTATGTCAGCCTAGGCATAAGACCCTATTCAATAAATACCTAAAGCAAAAAGGGCTGGAACATAGCTCACAGGAAAGCACAGGCTAGGAATTTAAATCTTAATTCCATTAAAAAAATAAACAGTGTTAGAGGTAGCTACCAGGGGCTCACACCTGTAATTCTAGCTACTCAGGAGGCTAAGATCTGAGGACTGAGGTTCAAAGCCAGTCTGGACAGGAGAGTCCATGAGACTTTTATCAACAATTAAGCATTAAAAAAAATCCCCTGCAAACCCATAAGTGGAGCTGTGACTCAATTACAGTCCTAACCTTGAGCAAAAGAGACAGCATCCAGGTTCTGAGTTCAAGCCCCAGGACTGGCATGTGTGTGCATTCACACGCAAGCACGTGTGAGATACACACACACACACACACACACACACACACACACACACACACACACAAAACCAACAATGCAACAATATTATGAGCCCGGTCAAATAAGGAACAATTGGGAATGAAGAAACAAATACACCTTACAGAAAATGAATTCATACAACTTTCAGAAATCCATCTGTTTCATAAGCAAGATATGTCTATACCTCACAAAAAGAAAACAAAAAAGTTAATTATCGCTAAGCAATGAACACATATTTAGAGTACTTATATACATTTTACACATATTTGACAAAAAAACAAAAGCCAATATATTATTGAAAAAACCCAAGCAACAGTCCTTAAGATTAAAATGATACCCCCTTTCCTTTCCTTTCCTTTCCTCTCCCTCTCCCCTCTTCCCTCCTGTCTCCTCCCCTCCTTTCCTTTCCTCTAGGACTTTTTGCCAGTCCTGTGGTTTGAACTCAGGACTGTCCTTGAGCTTCTTTTGCTCTACCACTTGAGCCACAGCACTACTTCTTTTTATGAGTTTTATTGGAGATAATAAGTCTCCTGGACTTTTCTGCCTGGATTGGCACTGAACTGCAGTCCTTAGATCTCAGCCTAGGATTACAGGAGTGAGCCACCAGTGCCTGGAAAAAATTATCTGTATCTGAAACAAACAAATCACATTGCCCACAGGTTCTGCCTGCACCAGGTACCCAACATCTATTGTATGTTCTCTTCACCTGTGGCCTTAAGATCTGACCCGGTCCACTTTGACCTTCCCTAGTCACTTCTGGGGTGCTTAAGAATACAATGCATGTTTCCATCACATTATAGCAGGGTGTTGCAAACTCAGCACTATTGACATTATGGGCCAAATAATTCTCTGGTGTATGTGTGTGTGTGGGGGGAGTTGTCCTGTGCATCGTGGGTTGTATCCCTGACTTCCACCCACAAGGTACTAATAGCAGCAATATGCACTGCTTCAAGCTGCCAATAAAGAACATCTCTATATGTTCACAAATGTCTTCTGGGGGACAAAACTGCCTTTGGTTGAGACCCTGCACTCCATGGGGGGAGATGCCCTTCCTATGAGGATGGAAATTGGTTCTTGGGGGAATGAAAGGAAAATTCTTGATAGCATAATGGTTTGGAGATATCCAGAGCACTATAGTAGGTTAGCACATCAAGAGTATCTGGTGGTATGAAATTTTCACTACAGTAAGTCATTGGAGCAGAAAAGCTCAAAAGCTATGGACATATGGCCATATTAGATGATGATAAGCAAAATAAACCCCAAGAGGTTTTTCTTTGTTGTCATTGTTTTTAATGTACTATGTGATTTTTTTTTGTTTCTTTTGTAAGTTCTTCCCCCTATGGTATATCCTGTTGACACTGTATTTGATTTTGGTACCCTGCGTCTTGTATATACCTTTATCTAATTTGGGGAGGGGAAGGGGAATAACACAATGCTGAAACAAGGACACAGGATGACCCATTGCAACAATGAGACTCACAAGACACTATGTTGGAAATGAACTTTCCAACTTCCTGGGGAGGGAGTGGAGTAGGGAAGGGATAGCAGAAGAAAAACAAAGGAGGGGGTAGCAATGCTCAATAAATAAATAAAAAGTTTGAAAAAAAGTTTTTGAGGATCTTAAGGGGGAACACATTAATGTAAAATAAATGTTGAGAAGCACTGTGTTGGACAATGCCCCAAATCTCATGTTACTCTGTCCTCTGAAATATGCAAGCAAGAATCTGACATTTCTGTCTCTGTGTGTGTGTGTGTGTGTGTGTGTGTGTGTGTGTGTGAGTGAGTACGTGTGTGTGTGTGTGTGTGTGTGTGTGTGTGTGTGTGTGTGTGTGTGTGTGTGTGTGTGTGTGTGGCAGTATTGGGGCTTGAATTCAGGGCCTGGGTATTCTACTTTTTCACTTTGAGCTACATACAGGTCTACTTCTGGCTTTTTGCTGGATACTTGGAGATAAGAGTCTCATGGACTTTTCTGTCCTAGCTAGCTTTGAATATTAGTCCTCAGATCTCAGCGTCCTGAGGATTATAGACATAAGCCAGTGGCACTGACTTTGACAGTTTTTGTTTTGTTTTGTCGGTCGTGGGGCTTGAACTCTGGGCATGGGCACTGTTCCTCAGCTATTCAGTTCAAGGCAAGCACTCTACATTGAGCTACAATGTCACTTCCCATTTTCTGGTGGTTTATTGGAGATAAGAGTCTCACAGACCTTCCTGCCTGGGCTGGCTTTGAACCATAATTGTCTGATCTCAGCCTACAGGTGTAAGTCACTGGAGCCCGGCTTTGACAGTTCTTAAGGTGATACTTCCAGTTACTTACATATTCAGAATATGATTTGAACCATCCCATAATACTACAGAATTGAAAAACTGTAACAAATACCAGAAAAACAAGTTAGGATTCCTTTAATGTGAGAAGCACTATTGTTGGGTAATTGTAATCATAATAATAGCAATAGCAGATAATGTAATAGCTAAATGTACTAAGGGTTTCATGTGCCACCGGGCATATTTAATGAGAGAATTCTTTTTGGGGTGGTTGTTCTGGGGATGGAAGTCAGGGCCTTCCACATGGTAGACAAAATACCACTGAGCTCCACTCTTCCCAGCCTCCAATGATCGAATCTTGCATCACATTTACATATAATCACATTTGATCATCACACTAGGATTGTCCCTGTTTGAAATCTGGTAAGGAAACTGAGGATTAGAGGTAAAATAAAGAGGTAGAAATGGTGACAGGAATTTTCCAAGTTAGGATCTTGGAACCCAAAACCCTAGTTCTTCCATGTACAGGACATTACCTTTGAGTACCAAGTGATATTTTAAACCTCTTTTTTTCATTGGTATTATTTTATTTTCATTCTAATATTTTAAGATGTTCTTTTAATTTCAATTAGGAAAGATTTTCTACATATAGTTTTAACAGTCTAAAGTATTTTATTTAAAAATCTGAACTAGTTAACAGACAATATTTCTAATAATGTGGAGCATTACATTTCCAAATTTAACATTCAGCAAAACATTCCTACACAAATTTGTTTTAGAATGACAGAAAATATATATACTTCATGTATGTATTTAGACAAATGCCCTTTTATTTCCTCAAAATAAATGCTTTAAAAAGGGCAGTGTAAAAGTTTTAGATATGAAGGCACTGCAAAACCTGAATCATAGGCGATCTTGTTTACTAGCAAGAGCCAAATGAAAATGTGGGAACTTTAATTTAACAGAGCTTAAGAACTGTGTGAGGAAGTACCTAGCTCTCATCAAAGAAAAAGAACCTTTTGGTCCACCTTAGTTAATGAAGTCCTTCCCCAAACTGATTTTCAAAAATGTATCTGGAAAAACTACCTAGAATATGTCAAGTACAAATATGCTTGATGGTATTCTTCACAAGTGTCAGAGGGTGTGGATAAGAATACTACAGGTGTGAAAAAAATCTATATCCCAAATAATGTATTATAAAATTCTTTAAAATGTATCTTAATAATGTATTTTAGAACTCTCAAAAATATTCATTTACAAAGCTGAGCATGGTAGTGCACACCTGTCATTCTATGTGCAAAGAGTAAATGGGAGGATCGTGGTCCACTCATTTGGGAAAAAAGCAAGACCCTATGTAAAAAAATAGCCAAACCAAAGAGAGCTGGAGGCATGGCTGAAATGATAAAGTGCTTTAAGGCCCTAAGTGCAAATCTCAGTACTGAAAACCAAATTCTGCTATAACTGTTATTACCTAAAGAATCAGGGCCTCTCTCCACCTTTATTTTTTAATATTTTCTTGTAAAAAACTGTATCATAATACATTTTCAATCTATATAAATTATACCAAGCGAAGTGTTCTTACTTGTCCTTCAGTGACTGTATCACTGTCCTCTAGTGTGTGAAAGTTACCTGTTCATTCAGTCCAATGGCTGTGTATCCTTCCACTGCCTCCCCACCCCATCAACACCACCACTTCATGTGTGTCCCTTTAAGCTGGGGAAATCCAACAAGACACGTAGCCACAAAAGGTTTAACAAAAGTATTTGCTCACAAATTTAGCAATATGCAAATTTTGCAATATGTAAATTCATATACCAAGCAGGATTTATTTCAGAGAAGCAGACCAGTTCAATATTTGAGAACTAATCAATGTAATCCACCACAGGGCTAGACAAGACAAAAGAATCATATGAACAAGTGGTAGAAAAAAATGCATGTTCCTGATAAAAAGAAAAGGAAAACTCCCAAAAAATCCAAATAGATAGGAATTTCTTCAACTTGAGTGAATAGCTACAAAAGTCCTATAGCTACTATGATGCCTAATGGTAAAAGACTGAATGATTCTTTTTTAATACAGGGAGCAAGGCAAAGGTATCTATTCATATTCTTATCATTAAACATGGTACTGAAAATCAGTCAGAAGAATAAGGTAAGAAAAAAAGGCACACTGACTGAAAAGGATAAAATAAAACTGTCACTATTTGCAAATGATGTAATGATCTATGTAGAGAATCCTCAACAATATATAAAAAGCATCCCATCAAAACTCCTCCTAGAACAAATTAATTTAGCAAATTGACAGGATCTATTATCTAACAATGTACATGTAAAAACAAAATACTAATGAAAGAAATCAATGAAGATCTAAGTAGTGAAATATACTATGTTCCTGAGTTGGAAGTTAGACCATAATGAAGATGTATTTATTTATTTTTGGAGGCAAGGGTTCTCTGTATAGTCCAAGCTGGCTTCAAACTCCTGTTTCAGCCTCCTGACTGCTGGTATTACAGGTATGAGTTATCATGCTTGCTCAGAGAAATACTTTATTTTTGGATACAGATAAGCTTATTCTAAAATGTACATGATACAGAACTAGAGCAACCAATAGTTTTTGAGAAGAAGAATAAACTGGGAAGAATCTATTTACCTGATGCCAAATTATTGCACAACTATAGTTAAAACAGTGTGGAACCAGGCACTGGTGGCTCACACCTGTAATCCTAGCTACTCAGGAGATTGAGATCTGAAGATCAACATTTGAAGCCAATCCCAGCAGGAAAGTCCACTAGACTTTTCTCCATTTGACCAGTAAAAAGTCAGAACATGGTTCAAGTGGCTGAGTGAAAAGCTACGTTAAGCCACCTCAGTTTAAGCCACAGTACTGGCACAAATACAAACTACCAAAAAATAACCCAGTATGGAATTATTGAAGGAACAGACAAATGGATGGACCAAATCAGAAATACAGAGTCGATTATATTCAGAAAGCACTTAGAATACAATGTCTCACATTGTGAGGTGCTGAAACTGACTGATGGGGCAGCACTGTTGGTTGCCTGTTTGATAATCACTCTTATTTTCTCCTTCCTATGAGTCCCCAACCTAGTTTAGGCATCCTTGCCTTGTGCTTCAGAGATAGCTGCTCCTGCTCTGAGCATGGGGTAGGAGTGTGTGTGTGTGTGTGTGTGTGTGTGTGTGTGTGAGTGAGTACGTGTGTGTGCCACCGCCACCTGGCCACATTTCCACTTCTGGCTTTGGAGCGATTTCCTGGAGATAAGAGTCTCACAGACTTTTTTTTTTTGCCAAGGCTAGCTTCAAATTGTGATTCTCATATCTCAGCAACCTGAGTAGCTAGGGTACCAGGCATGAATCACCACACACACAGCCTATCTCAAGGTTTTATAAAACTTCTGAACTGTGAAGTTTTTCTTTAGGTTTATACTCCCAAGGACAGATTAGTTCCTTCAATCCAATCCTTGGTATTCATATCAGGAAGTAGAAATTCTAATCATCAGGCCATGAAAACATTCCTGAGCACAATCCTTCTTAGAGTCCTATGTGAGGAAAGCCTGTGGAAGACTTCCTGGCATCCAATCAAAGCTTATCTATTTAAAGTGCTGAGACCTTGGGGAAAGATGCTATTCTATGTCTCACTTTCCCCAACTGATATCTCCCTTATAGGAATACTATAAGAATTACCTTGAGGAGCACCTGCAACTTGGGTCTCTCCTGGATCTGTAGACTAAGGCACCAGTCCAGAAATGTTAGAGCTGGCAGTGGGGAAGGCCAAGAATCCCTGCCCCAACTAACACAAAAGCCTCTGGAACTGAGTATTCTCCTAAATTCCAGTTTCCCTCTCAACTCCAAGGATGGCTAGGAGATCCTTGTTAATTTCCTCACCTCTGAGCTATGTACAGGCTGCAGTCTACTCAACTACAATTAGGAATATAAAAAACCAGCAGAGAAAGAAACAAACATCGCCACCTTGTGGATCGTCTGAGAATGGCTCCCCATGCCTTTGTACTACCCAAGGGCCTTTTTTCTTTCTTTTTCTTTCCTTCCTTCCTTCCTTCCTTCCTTCCTTCCTTCCTTCCTTCCTTCCTTCCTTCCTTCCTTCCTTCCTTCCTTCCTTCCTTCCTTCCTTCTTTCCTTGTATGTGTGTTGATACTTGTGTTTGAAGTCTGAGTTTTGCACTCTCATTTCACTAGGACTTTTCTGCTCACAGCTGGTGCACTACCACTTGACCCACATTTCTACTTCAGCTTTTTGCTGGTTAATTAGAGATAAGAGTCTGGTGCACTTGTTTGCCAAGGCTTGCTCGGAACCTCAATCCCCTGATCTCAGCCTCCTGAGTAGCTACAATTATAGGTGAAAGCCACTAGCACCCCGTCCAAGTACTTCTTTATGTGATCAGGTCACCCTGTGCAGATCTGACACTATGGCAGGTAGCCAGAGCACATCCAGTGATGCCAAGAGCAACATTTAGAGCTGCAGGGCCCTGGAAGGAGTCTGACAGACAGCCTTCATTTAATGCTGAGGAAAACTGGGGGCTTAAAGATGTGAAGGGTGTGTCTTGAGCCAGCACCAGCATAGTGGTGGAGGTGGGGGGAATCTTGGAACCCTATTTTTATGTCCTATTGCTCATAAGGTGCTAGAGCTCACAGAGTTAGAAATTCAAATACTTTTAAAAAATCAAACTCAGGTGAGTGGTCTTCTGTTCAGACAAAGCCACAGAAAGGCAAAGGACACCCACAAGTTGTAACACATGAGGCTTGCACAGGAAATGTCACCTCCTCAGTACACTCAAGGAAGGAAACACTCAGCATGAGCTTCATGTTCAAGCAAAGCTCTATGTGTTTCTTTTTTAAAAAAAAATCTTTGGCTGAGGAGCTCATCCTTCAGACCCAAGGTTTCATCAAAAAGAATGGGAAGCCTAGCACTGGTGGCTCACTCCTATAATCCTAGCTACTCAGGAGGCTAAGATCTGAGGATTACTGTTCAAAGTTAGCCTGAACAGAACAACCTGCAACCTCCAATTAATCAGCAAAATGTCAGACTGGAAGCATGATTCTAGTGGTAGAGCACCAGCTGTGAGCAAAAAAAGGCGAGAAGCCCTTAGTTCAAGACCCTTACCAGCAAAGAAATAATGTGATATGATCCCACTCCTGCAGCTTTAAGAGTTTTTTAATTCTCACCCCTGATGTCACTGTACTAGCAAGACCCAGGTGTTTCTAATTTCCTGTGTGCTCTGGCAAAAATTGTAATGAAAACATTTTTTTCTTCTAGAAAATTCCAGTGCTTCAACTTCTTAATAAAAAAAAATAATTTCTCGCCCCTAAAAAGAACAGAAAAGACTTGAAACCTTACATGAACTAAGCCATCACACACGCTGCACAGTCCATTGAGCATTCTCCATAACGTGACATTTGACCATTTTAGAAACAAAACTTAACTTGGTTCTGAACTAACCTTATATTAAGCCAGGACAACATGGGTGTTGTACCTCCACCAATGATCCAGACAGTGAAGAAGACAATGAGGAGAGTGGTCGTGAACATCATCTGGCGAGCATATGAGGCTGTGTCACGGATAGCCAGAGCAAATGCCATTGCTCCCCTGAGGCCTGCAAGGACCAAACGGAAAGATCAGTTTATCTTTGTATGCTTTTTTAAAAGTTCCTTTCCATACTTTGTTTATAGTAAAGACAGAATCCAACATGTTTAGTGTATAACAAGTATAAATTCTCATCCAACATAAGAATGGAAAGTTAGATTTACTTTCATTTTTTAACATCAACTCTTTATTTTTATTATTATTATCTAACTTTATTTTTCAAGATAAACTATCCCAGGTCCACAAGTACATTTGAATCCTAGTTAGCCCAGATTCCTCATAACAATCCCACCCTTTTTATTTTATTGTGAAATACTGTACAGAGGGGTTACAATTACATGGGCAAGATAATGAGTATATTTCTTATCAAGCACTGTAGCCTCCTCCTTTGTTTCCCCTTCCCATCCCTTCCCATCCTCCTCCTGCCCCCCTACCCAATCCTCCTCCCCCCCACCAAAGTAGTAAAGTTCGTTTTCAACATAACAACTTGTACATCTCATTGTTGCAATGGGTCCACCTGTATCCCTATTTAAACGATTTGTTTTTTCCCTTCCCCTCCACAAATTATAACGACATCAAATACAGTGAAAGCAGGGGTTATACCATGGGGGAGGGACATACAAAGCAACAAAGAAATAATCTTATAAATGTGTTAGAAACAATTGCATGAAAGAAAAAAAAACATTTGAATACATATCTTAGGGTTCATTTCCCTAACATCAACTAACCTGACCTTTTCTGCTTGACTCAGACATGTACTAGTTATTGCAAATATGGGAAACCATGGGACCTATGTTTCTTTGGGCCTGGCTTACTTCACTTAATTTTTTCCAAGTCTTTCCATTTCCTAACAAATGGGGCAATGTCATTCTTTCTGATGGAGGCATAGAATTCCATTGTGTATATATACCACATTTTCTTGATCCATTCATCTACTGAGGGGCATCTGAGTTGGTTCCATATCTTAGCTATGGTAAATAATGTGCAATAAACATAGTCATGCTGGTAGCTTTAGTATGGTCTTGTTTGTGATCATTTGGGTAAATGCCAAAAAGTGGCATTGCTGGATCATAGGGGAGCTCTATGTGCAGTCTATTGAGGAACCTCCATACTACTTTCCAAAGTGGTTGAACAAGTTTACACTCCCACCAACAATGCAGTAAGGTTCCCTTCTGTCCACATCCCCTCCAGCATCTGTTGTTGGGGGGGGGCAGGGGGAGGATAGGAAGTGTTGGGAAGGGGAAACAAAGGAGGAGGCTACAATGCTTGATAAGAAATGTACTCATTATCTTGTCCATGTAATTGTAACCCCTCTGTACAGTATTTTCACAATAAAAAAGAAGAAAAAAAAGATTTTAAAAAGGGGAATTGTCCCCCAACAACAAATCTTCAAAGAAACTACTGCCCAATAAATAAGTGGGCTAAAGAGTTAAAGAGAAACTTCTCTGAAGAGGAAAGAAGGATGGCCAATAGATTTACTTTCTTTATACCTTTTGCCTTTCCCAAAATTTCATCATTACCAACATAATCTGTGAGAGTCATTATAATTCACTAAAGGAGATTGACTCAAGAAAAGTTACATTCAAAAACAGAGCAAAGTTAGTGTTTCCTATTAGCCTGTCCTAGAGAAATGTACTAAAATGTTACTCATCTAGATTTGTAATGGCCAATGAGGTCCTCAGGATTAATACTGAAGCCTCTCTATATTGTCTCAAAAAGGAGAACTTGGGTAGCAGAGAGAGACAGTGTATGATGCATGTCTTTCATTTTAAGCAATATTAAATTGGAGCCTCAGCTATTTCGAAGCTTTGCAGAATGGGGTTCTTTCAATAGCCAGATTTCTTCCAGCATCAAATCATTGTATTGGTGACAGCTTAAAATAGCACTGTATATTTTTCAGCCATCTTGTAAGGAAAATGATGATTGCACCTGATGTTTACCTAAATTTAGACAGTAACCTCTGATTTGTCTTTGTCTTATCTGTCAGGATTTTCCTAGTGTGGACACAAGTGCTCACCATGATCCTTCTTTACCAAGCTATCAATGTTTCCCCACTGCCCCTGGGTAAAAACTCAAACTCTTTGGCACACCCCTGGAACTTCTCTGTGGTCTTGGCTCTAAAGCAGTGGTTCTCAAAGTTTTCTTAAAACAGCAGCCTGTGAGAATGTGTGAGAAATGCAAATTGTAGAGGGCCACACACCCCTAAAATCCAGCAAGGAGGCAGTGGGGCCTACAATCTGTGCTCGGATAAGCCCAACAGGTGATTTTGTTACAACTAAAAGGTCTTGAAACCATTTCCACAATGTTTTCTTTCCTCATATCCCCATACTTACTTACTTTACTTACTTAATTTTTCTGTCAATACTGGGGCTTGAACTGAGGGCCTAAGCTTTGTCCCACAGCTTTTGGACTCAAGGCTGGCACTCTATCTCTTGAGCCACAGCTCCACTTCATCTCCCTCTTCCTGACTGCTGCATGTGCCTAGTTTTACCAGGCTGTGAATACCTCTGCCCCCAAGAGCCACCTGGCCTATGCTTGTCTGCTTTCTACCCTGTTCCCTCCTGGAGTGCCATTTCTTCCAGGGACCCTTAAATGCTAGCTCACTCTGTGGAGACAGCTTGAGCCTTCTTCTTGTCCCTCTGTCCCTCATACCTTTTTGTGCAACTGCCATCTCTTAAGAACAAACTAATGAACCCTGTAGACTGTGGGAACCTTGAAGGAGGCCAGCCTTTTTATTGTCTACAATCTATATCTATGGCTGTGTGTGTGTGTGTGTGTGTGTGTGTGTGTGTGTGTGTGTGTGTGTGTGTGCTGGTCCTGGGGTTTGAACTCAGGGCTACAAGCTCTTGCTTAGCTTTTTCACTCTACCACTTGAGCCATATCTTCTAAAAACAGTGGCTTTTAAGAAAACAATGTGCACCAGGTGCCAGTGTCTCATGCCTATAATCCTAGCTACTCAGGAGGCTGAGATCTGAGAATCACAATTTGAAGCCAGCCTGGGCTTTCAAGAAAGCCCATGAGATTCTTATCTCCAATTAACTGGAAGTGCAGCTATACCCCAAATGGTAGAGTGCTAGCCCTGAGCAAAAAAGCTCAGAGACAGTGCCTAGGCCCTGAATTCAAGCCCCATGATGGGCACACACAAAAAAAGATGATGTGGACATGCAGATGAAGGATTATACCCAGAATGGTGAGTGTTTTACAGAGCACTGCCATTTGGTGTGATGGCAATGTGTCTCTGTGAGGCTCCCAAGAACCACTGCACAAGCAGTAAAAACAGCTACTACTCACTCTACCCTCTGGTCAGCCCCCTTCTCTCCTCACAGAGCAGGGAGACCTCTAAAAGTATAGTAGCCTTTGCCCCTAGCATCTCACCCCTGATCTACAGAGATGGCTCTAACCTGGATTTCATTCCTGCAGTCATTTGTGCCAGGTGATCTTACCCTTCTTCACTTCCACAACTTGCCTTATTGCCTTGTCCCCTCACTTGCTTTTCTAGGACTTTCTGCTTTACAGTGTCATAAGAGGCATGTGGGTGACAGTGGAAAGTGAACAGAGTTGTCACAGTTTGTTAAGTCCTAGGTTTGAGCTCATCTTGTTTGTGAGTATATTTTGTTTTTTGATCCACAGAAAGTCACAACTATAAGGAACTTCAGGTAATTAGTTCAAGTTCATTATTTTATAAGTAAGGAGGATATTATAGCTGGAGGCGGTTGAGTGATGTAGCTTTAGGTTCTTCTCCTTATTGATCTTTCTAAAGTTTGATCAGGAGCCCTTCCAGAAGCCTAAAGGTTAGAAATATCTACCAGAAAATAATCAAGCACTTTGAATACTCATATATCTTCAGGTCCCTTCACTGACAAAAATAAATATGAAGCCAGGTGCCGATGACTCACACCTGTAATCCTAGCTATTCAGGAGGCAGAGATCTGAAGATCACGATTCAAAGCCAGCCTGGGCAGGAAAGTCCCTGAGACTCTTTTTTTTTTTTTTTGACCTTTGACATTTTTTTTTATTGTGAAAATACTGTACAGAAGGGTTACACTTACATGGGCAAGATAATGAGTACATTTCTTATCAAGCATTGTAGCCTCCTCGTTTCCCCTTCCCATCCCTTCCCATTCTCCCCCCCCCACCCCCATTCAATCCTCCTCCCCCCCTCCACCAAAGATGTAAAGTTCGTTTTTCCACATAACAACTTGTACATCTCATTGTTGCAATGGATCCAGATGTATCCCTATTTAAACGATTTGTTTTTTTCCCTTCCCCTCCACAAATTATACCAACCTCAAATACAGTGAAAGCAGGAGTTATACCATGGGAGAGGGACATACAAAGCAACAAAGAAATAATCTTATAAATGTGTTAGAAACAATCGTCCCTGAGACTCTTATCTCCAATAAACTACCAGAAAAGCAGAAGTGACGCTGTGGCTCATGTGGTAGAGCACTAGCCCTGAGCTGAAGAACTGAGGGACAGGGCCCAGGCCGAGTTCAAGCCCAACAACTGACAAAATAAAAATAATAAGTAAATAAATAAATAAATATGAAAATATTTCAGAAGAGACTTCTCTTGGTAGGATGGCTTCTAAAACAGTACTGATTCAGTTGAATTCTACATCTGTACTATACAGAATACCAAAGAAACAGAAAAATTGAATGTTTTACAAAGCTTATTGATTATATTGTAATCATCCTATCATTGTTTGCTAAATAAGACTAATCTGCTTTATATTTATACTTTTATTGTTACCTGAAAACATCATCATGTGTTGGAAATTCCAGCCGATCTTGTGTCTTCTGCCTAAGTTGAGGAAGAAGGAGAGCGGGTAGATGTGCGCAGCTCTACCCAGGAAGATGGCAACCTGATCACCAGGTGAAGGTTAAGGGGTCAACGCTTTCCAGAATGGCATGTTTACACAAACTCTACTTGAGTAGGGAATCTGTGTCTGTGTGTGTGTATGTGTGCGCGCACGTGCACACACACGCAAGCATGTGCGCATGCTTACCAATACTGAGGCTTGAACTCAGGGCCGGGGTATTGTCCTTTACCTTTCTCACTGAAAGCTACTGTTCTACCATTTGAGCCACACCTCTACTTCAAACCTTTTAGTGGAGATAATAGTCTCATGGACTTTCCTACCCATGCTGGCTTCAAATTACAAGCCTCAGATTTCAGCCTACTTAATAGCTAGGATTATAGGCATAACACACTGACACTGGGTTGACCAGGTAATTTTAGGAATGCTATGATTCAGAGAGCTACCCAAAAAAGCCAGGCTATCAAGTTTCCCTCTAGACAAAAACCTCTCAACAACAAAATGGGAATCATCTGGCCAACTTCCTTACTTCTTGGTTCACAAAGATAATTTTAGCTTATTAAACATGGTACTTTTAGACATAATTCAACTGGTATTGACCAACTCTTCAATGTCCAATGAGTCCAGAGATAAGCTAAAGTTCCATCATAGCAGTGGGAGCTGAGAAAAGCCAGTGTGTTGAGCTCTACTAGAAGAAAACTCACAAGAATGAAAAATGACTAAACCTGGTGTCAAACCCTAAATAAGAGCTTGCAAGCTTCACTTACAAGTAAACCGCAGAGACACCAATGTGCAGGAACAGCCTGCAAATGAGAGTTAGGGAAACAAAGCATTCACACCATGAAGTGACAAGAATCAACCCAGGGAGACTTGTCTACTTAAGTAGTTCACATGTCCTTTGGAGATGTAAGAAATGGCAAAGGAAGGATATGGAAAAGGAACTCGACTGTGGGCAACAAAGAATTCAGGGAAACCAGTCATCTCTCACTTGCCAAGTTTAGACAGTGCCCCAACAGAGAGAGCTGCACAGTCCTCTGTTCAGAGAAGGAAACCCCCATGGGAGCCACAGGAACAGGCAGCTTCCGTTGAGGCAATGTGCCAGCTGCAGGAGCCCAGCTGTTTCAGACAGAAACCAGGGCTGAACTATCTTCTAATTTCTCCAGGGTAGAAGAGTACAGACTTGTTTTCTTCTTTAAAAATTGTTTTTCTTCACATTTTTCATTTTATAATATTTTGTTTCTAACAGAAGACAACAGGTAATGCTTATAAAGCACACTGCTTCCCACAGGTGAAAGGAAGTCCACAAGTGGTTAGTAGCCTTAAGCATTCCCAAAGGGAACCACAGCTCAACCCAAACCCCGGGCAGGCCCTGCTCTGTAAACTAAGGCCGTACTCTCACTATCACTTCCAGGGTGCTGTGCTAGGAATATAAATCAGAACAGCATGCCAGGTCTTTCTGAATGAAGATGAAAAACAATTAACTCTGCAGATTCTGAGCCATTTGTCTGGCGAGTGTGCAAATCCATTCATTTAAACATATGGCACTCTAGCTAGAAGGAAGCCAACCCTGGCAATGCCTGGTAGTTTATGACGGCCAGCCATTTCTGTGCAAGAATGGGAAAGCCCCAAAGACAAAAACACTCCTTCTTGGCCAACATTCCAACAGCTAAGGATTCCCATGAGACCCCAGAATTGGTGAAAAGGAATGGGAACTTCTGAGCAGGATCTTGAAATCAAGCCCTAGAAAGTTCACTTTAATGACAACAATGGTATCAAAGGCCGGGCTAGCTAAGCCCTCAGATAGTGATCCATTGCTCAGCACTCATCCTTCCATCCTTAACAGAAGTCCACCCCTAAAACCAAGCCTCCTTTTTAAAAACTGCATTCACAATGGGACCAGGTCCAAGAGCCAAATATTTTTCTCTTTCTTTCTTTATCTTTCCTGCCTATCCAATATTTTTTTCTTTTCTTTTGCTTATCCTCCCTCCCTTCCTTCTTTTCTTTTTTTGAAAAATAAAGGATTCTTTCACATTGTGATCCATAGCAGTGGACAGGGCAGCTGGAAGTGTTAATTTCCACAGGCACCCCATGCATCCCTAGGCACCATGATGAAGGGCAGTCATACTGAGTGCGCAGTTGAGAGCAAGAAAGATAGAACTCAGAGACCATCTTGGATAGCAGTTCATGAACTCTGGGGGCAGACAGAGTTGCTGATTTTTAGATTTGCCCAGGAGGGAACTCTGTAAAACAGCAATAGCCAAACATAAAAAAGTAGAAGAGATGGGCTGAACATGAACAGCATTCCTTTAAATCCTCAAATGTACTCAATACAATCAAATGCATTAGCTTTCTGAAGCATCACACAAAGCTTCCCTTTCTCATTGTAAAGCTATCATGAACTAGTTAGCACTGGTTTTGTCACTCACCCAAGACAGGAATAATAATAAAAATAACGAGGAGGAGAAACATAGCTTTTTCCAGCAGTGCTTGCTTCTGTGTGGAAAACCATAGAGCCAGAAAAGGATACAAAAGCACCAATGATAAAGATGGGGCTGAAAACGTGTTTCTGAAAGGTAAACAGTGCCAGGCCCATGTAGGAGAAGATGAAGTTCTCAGCCAGGAAGTGTAACACCTCAAAGAGCTGCACAGAGAAGACAAGAGGATGCCATTAACACTGAGCATTTTTATTGTGCATGCATAGTCCACCAGTCAGCACCAAGGCCCTCCTCACCTGTTTTGTTCGACTTCTTGATTCCACAGACAGATTGTTGTAGGTATAATGAGCTTGCGTGATTCCACAGAAAAGGACAGCTACTACACCTAGGAAGAGATTTTTTTTTTTAAGTCAGGCACTATAATCCTAGCTCCTCAGGAGGCAGAGATTTCAGGACTATGATTCAAAGTCAGCCTGAGAAAACAATTCTGAGAGACAGTTATCTCCAATTAACCAGCAAAAAGCTTGACCTAGAAGTATGGTTCAAGTGGTAAGGCACCATTCTTGAGGGAAAAAAGCCATTCAAGAGTACAATACTTCTGAGTTCAAGCCCCAGTCCTACCACACATACACATGCCCATGCACATGCACGCACATGTACACACACACACACACAGATCACAGAGCTGATATCCAAAACACTTCTGGTTCCAAGCATTTCTATGTGAAACTGACACTTTAAAAGCATGGTATTGCCAGGCACAGGTGGCTCAAGCTTGTAATCGTAGCTACTCAGGAGGCTGAGATCTGAGATTCAAGGTTTGAAGCCAACCCAGGGAGGTGCAGGGGAGGTGGGGGGCAAGCTCATGAGATTCTTCTCTCCAATTGACCACCAAAAAATGCCAGAAGTGGAGTTTTAGCTCAAGTGGTAAAGCACTATTGTTGTTGTTTTTTTTTGGTCGGTCACTGGGCTTGAACTCTGGGCACTGTGCCTCAGCTCTTCAGCTCAAGACTAGTGTAGAGCATTATTATCAAGCAAAAAAGTTCAAGCCCCAGGACTGGCGCATGCGTGCGCACACACACACGCACACACACACACGCACACACACACACACACACACACACACACACACACACACACAAGCATAGCATTGAAAAACATTGACTAGCCCAGAGACAAAACAATGAAAAGCTACACTCTATGTCATCTAAGTAGATGCAAAAAAAAAAAAGACCTTTAAAGGGCACACATTATGGGTTATTTCTAGTGTTTGTAAAGTAACATAACAACTTGTGGGAGGATACAAATTAAGATGTAACTATATTCAGTAACCCTGACAAATAAACATTTATAATTAGAATAAGGATGCAAGAACAAAAAAGTGAATTTGGAATAGTAAAGGTTATCTTTAAAACAACAGGAAAACTCATGTCTGTAACCCTAACTATTCAGGAGGCCAAGATCTGAGGATCATGGATCAAAGCCATGATCTCAAAGCAAAGACTGTGAGATACTTACTTCCAATTAACCACAAATAAGCTGGAATTAGAGCTGTGGCTCAAGTGGTAGAGAGCTATCCTTGAGCAAAAAAAGCTAAGGGAAAGTGCCCAGGCCGTGAGTTCAAGCCCCAGGACCAATACAAAAGAAAAAAAGGAAGGTGTTTTGAAGCTAAATGTTTCATGAAGACAGGACACTATCGTGGCTCTGCAAACCTCCATGCACACACTCGTTGGGCAGTTAATCACCTACATGTAGCTGCTATAGAAAGAGTCTTTCCCCCTTAGGCTCCAGTACCAGCTTCAGTGAGGAGAGAGAGAACCCACCTGTAAATCCACAGGCTTCTGCCAAGAGAAATGTACTCCAGGACATTAGGAAGAAGAGTGCCGTCTCCAGCAGGGGGAAGCAGTGCAGCTTGGTAAATTTGGTCACGTCAGCATCTTGTCAAGGACCACAGCTCCACACACAAGCAAGGAATTATTAGCTCAGGACTGCTCCCTCTGGGAGCCCTAAAGCTGCCCTTCTTTTTGTGGTGCTGGAGATAGATTCTGGGACTTTGCACATGCTAGCCAAACCCTCTATCACTGAGCTCTTCCCTTAGCCCAAGAATTGTAGTGTGCGTGCGTGCATGCGTGCATGCGTGTGTGTGTGTGTGTGTGTGTGTGTGTGTGTGTGTGTGTGTGTGTGTGTGTGTGTGTGTATGTATGTGCTGATACTGGGGCTTGAACTCAAGGCCAGGGCTCTGTTTCTTAGCTTTTTCACTCAAGACTGGCACTTGAGCCACAGCTTAACTTCTAGCTTTTTGGTGGTTAACAGGAGATAAGTCTGGGCTGGGAAGGTGGCTCAGTGGTAGAGCGCTTGCCTTGCATTCATGAGGCCCTGGATTCGATTCCTCAGCAACACATAAGCAAAAAGAAAAAAGCTGGAAGTGGCGCTGTGGCTCAAGTGATAGAGCGCTAGCCTTGAGCTGAAGAGCTGAGGGATAGCGCCCAGGCCCAGAGTTCAGGCCCCACGACCGGATCCAAAAAAAATAAATAAATAGGAGATAAGTCTCTTGAGGATTTGTCTTCCCTGGCTGGCTACAAACTTTGATCCTCAGATGTTAGCCTCCTGAGTAGCTAAGATTACAAGTATAAGCTATCAGCACCCAATTGTTTTTGGTTAAAAAAATTTTTTTAGCCAATCCTGTGGTTGAGCTTAAGAGACTAAGCACTGTCCCTAAGTTTTTTTGCTTAACGCTAGCACTATACCACTTGAGCCACAACTCCACTTCTGGCTTTATTTGTTGTTGGTTGTGGGGCTTGAACTCTGGGCCTGGGTGCTGTCCCTCAGCTCTTCAGCTCAAGGCTAGTGTTCTACCACTTGAGCCACAGTACCACTTCCAGTTTTCTGGTGGTTTATTGAAGATTAGAGTCTCAAGGACTTTCCTTCCTGGGCTGGCTATGAACCTTGATCCTCAGATCTCAGCCTCCTGAGTAGCTATGATTACAGGTGTGAGCCACTGGCACCCGGCTCACTTCTGGCTTTTTGATTCTTAATTGGCGATGAGTCTCATGGGCTTTCCTGTCCAGGGTTGATCTCAACCTCCTCAATTTCTGGGATTACAGGTGTGAGCCACCAGTGCCCAGCTGATTGTTTTACACTAAAGATTATAGTACTCTTTGCTTGTGGAAGGCCACTGTGCAGGCATTCCCATGAATAGTCTCCAGGTTGTTATGGCCACATGAACACTCAAATGGCCCAGCAGAGCAGACAGCAGCAGCAGCAGCAGCCTGGGGCTCAAGTACCTGATACCTAGCCTCCTCCAAGTTTGTCAGCTATATTCATTCCCTTAAAACCAAGGCTCCAACTGGTTCATAAGGGAGGAGAGCAAAGGCAAAGCTGCAAACCAAGTGGAGTCTAGTTATGTTCTTAGTCTTTTGCTGTGACTTAGCTACAGGCCCAACCTCTGTGCCTCACCAATGGGACTTTCACAGAGCATCACATCAGGGTGGAAAACAATATATTTAATATTCTAAGATGAAAGGGAACTCTGAGAACTTCCTTTTTGTACAATGTCATGTTCATATATATATTATCTATATCTATATATCTATATCTATATATCCAGGCGGCAGCAGCAACTACCAAAAAGGATATTAGAGCTGTCACAACACCAGTTACAGCTCCCATGGTAAAAGAGCCACTAAATATACCAAGAAAAATGCCAACTGACTTAAAAAAGGCAGCAGCATCAAAGGCATGAGTATTCAGTCCTGCTGGCTGGTAGGCAACAATAGACCTGAAATTGACAGAGGATGGGGAGGAGGAAGGGAGGGAGAGAGAGAGAGAAAGAGTTAAAAAAGACTGTACTGGTTTTACATCAGAGTACAGTAGTCTCTTATCCATAATTTCAATTTTCAGTTTCATTTACCCAAGAGTTCAAAAAATCACATGGAAAATTCCAGAAATAAACAACTTATAAGTTTTAAATTGTGTGCTATCCTAAAGAACGTGATAAAATGTCAAACCACCTGGCTTTATCCTACTCAGAACTCAAACCATTCTGTGTTCGGTGTATCCAGGCTGTATTTACTACTTGCCCTTTAAAGGCTATCGAGATTACCAAATTGAGGTGCCTGTGTTCAAATAACCTTCATTTTAGTTAATAATGGCCCAAAGAGAAGGAATAGTGATGCTGGAAATCAAATATGCCAAAGAGAAGCCATAAAGTTCTTTTCTTTTGAGTGAAAATGAAAGGGTAAAAGAGTACAATCAGATGTGTGTGTGTGTATATATATATATATACTCACATTAAGATATACATGTGCAATACACACACATACAGACGCTTTACACACACACACACACATATGTAGAGAGAGAGAGAGAGGAAAGGAAAAAGGAAAGGAAAGGAAAAGAGAAAATGAAAGGAAAAAGGCAAGGAGTGAATGGGATGGGAAGAAGAGGGGAGAGAAAATCTTGGTGTATTGGCATATTGGCACATTGGCATAACTTTTTGTATATGCGATATATAAAACTTTTTCTAACAATTTTAATTGTATTATCAGTTGTTAATCTCTTTACTGTGTCATATATATGTATGCATAGGAAAACCCACAGTATACATAATGTTCAGTACTCTCTGTGATTTTAGGCATCCACTGATGGATAAAAGAGGAATGCTATAAATCTAGATAATCTATCCTCTAACAAAAACTACTCAGGGCAAAGTCATTGTATTTAATCTGTAGCCTCTGTGTTGGGCTGGTGTCAGCCTTCTTCTGATTGCTGCTAAGCAGATAAAAGCAGCATGACTTTATCACTAAGGCCATTAAGTCTCATTTAGAATAGGGCCCAATTCAGTATCACTTTCAGGGCAGCCCTCCATATTTGGCCCAAAGCATGCAGGAACCCAAAGTCTCTCTACTCCAGCTACTTACGATGACAGTACAATGGCAACAGCATCGTTTAGGACGCTCTCTCCAAACAGAAGTGCATACAAATCCACATCAGCGTGCAATTCATTAAATATCGCCAGCACAGTCACTGAAAAGTGGATGCAGAACAGAGAAATTAATTTGGGTTTCTGCCTATCATAAGCAGACAGCAAGGGTGCCAGCAATGGAGTCAAAGATGGGCTGTTTGTGTCTGTTAAAAAGGAATTGACAATCTTCCCAACTGACATGAGGTTGGATGCAGTCGAATGCACCTACACATGGCTTTCTACTTGGAGAAGACAGTACAGACATGTAAAAACAAATGACCATTCATGTGATTTGGGTTTCTACTGAGCACTCTGCTCCCAGAATCCAGCACAGGCTCAGACACAAGGTGTGGTAAATAATGGAAATCTTCATCAGTGACAGATTGTATGTAATTGTTTTTTTTTTTGAGTCATGGTCTCACTATGTAGTCCATGCTGGCCTGGGACTTGCTATGAATCCCTGGCTGGCCTAGAACTTTGCATCTTCCTGGCTCAGCCTCCTGAGTTCTGGGATTACAAGTGTGAAGCACCATGCCAGGGACATAATTACACTTCTCAGAGTGTTCTTATTTTTGAGGGATTTAAAAATTGGCTGTTCTCTAAATCAGCAATTTGCAAACTTTGGACTTCAGGATTCTTTTACATTCTTAATAATTGTTGTGCTTCCCCCCAAACAACCCTAGTTTTGTGGGCTATCCACTACTGATATTTACTGTATTGAACAAAACAGGAAATATTAAATATTTATTCATTTAACTAATTTAAATATTTACTCATAATGATTCAATAATCATCCATTACATGTTAACATGACATTTTAAATAAGAAGTAGTTATATTTTCTAAAACAAAAAATTGAAGGAGAGACACTTTTTGCTTTTTTTGCAATCTCCTTAAAATATGCATATAAGTGGAAGACAGATGCTTCTCATGTATGTTTCTGGATGTGAGCAACATGACATGTCATTTGGTCTCCCAAAAACTCCACTGTATACCTGAGATGAGGTTGACAGTGACCACTACATTGTGGTGTTTTTAAAATTGATTTTGCCTTGATGTACCCTCTAAAAAGGTTTGGGGGACCCAAAAGAGACCAATAATGCATTGCTGTGTTTCTTAAATTGGCTTTGGCCTTATGTACCCTTCGATCCTTGACTTCTAGACCATACTATGATACTTCAGCTTTATTGACATTTGGGGCCAGATAATCTTTGATATGAGGGGTTAGCTTGCACATCACAGGATACTAGCAGCATCCCTGGCCCCAATCACCAGATGCTAGTAGCAACACCTCATTTAATCACAATAAGAAAAAACAACCAGTCTTTGCTATAAGTTGCCCTGAGGAGGAACATGCAGTATCACCACCACTAGAGAATGGATGATGTGGAATGTACATATGGGGAAGCTTTCTGTCTTGTCATTCACACCCAACCAATTACTTTCTCTCTTGGTGACTTCTACTCTTAGAATAAGAGTTAAAAACTCAAGCTCCCAGCTAGGCATAGTGGCTCACGCTTGTAATCCTAGCTATTCAGGAAGCTGAGATCTAAGGATTATGGTTCAAAACCACCTCAGGCAGACAAATAATCAGTAAAAAATAATAAATAATCAGTAAAAAAGCTATAAGTGGAAACATGGCTCAAGTCATAGAGCATGAGTCCAAATCCTAGTACTGGCATAAAAACAAACAAACCCCTACAAACTCACATTCCCAGGTCCCCTTGAAAAGAATGTCATCTCTGCCTACGCAAAAGATTGTAGAAGGGCCAGTATATGCAGGAAGCTTGGGACAAATGACATGCTTTGAAACCCAAAGGTAGTATGGTAGAGCATACTCAGATGCCTGATTGCAATGGAAACTCTGGTACCAACCCACAAATGGGAACCAAGGTAAGTATCTATTGGTTTAAGCAAGTATTATTTAGGCTTTTCTGTTATATTTGTAGCCAAAAGCACAGCTAACTGATATAATAAGAAAATCAAACAAAATTAAAGTTTAGTTAAGTGAAATGGTTTTGGTGTGTGTTTTGTGTGTGTGTGTGTGTGTGTGTGTGTGTGTGTGTGTGTGTGTGTGTGTGTGTGTGCACTCAAGCGCCAGTCAGTATTGGGGCTTGACTCAGGGCCAGTGCACTTTCCCTTAGCTTTTCTACTCAAGGCTAGCACTTGATCACTGAACTAATCTTTCACTTCTGGCCTTTGAGTGGTTAATTGGAGATAAGAATCTCATGGACTTTTTCTGCCCAGGCAGGTTTCAAACCCCAATCCTCAGAACTCAGTCTCCTGAGTAGCTTGGATTGTAAGCATGAGCCACCAGTACTCAACATTATTTATAAACCATGTTTATAAATCATGTTACCATCACCTAGTTTAAGAATTATCCAGTGTCCCCAAGGGACCCCCCCCACCGCCATGTATGCCCCATCCCAATCTCAAACCACTTCCTCAAAAGGTACCACACATCTGGATTTCACAGTTACTATTTACAGCTACATCTGGATTTCAGTTGCTATTTATTTGCCTTTCTTTAGTTTAATTGCCCAAATGCACATTCCTTATATGCTATCAGTTATGTTTGGCCCTTTTAAGGAAAAGGGGTTAATTATATCTGTCTCCATTCCCTTCTCTCAGCTCTTTGCTCACAATAGCCTATTGTTCACTTGTCCCATTTCTGAATTTTCTAACCATAATGCATGTGGTTCTTTCATAACTTGCATTTGTTTTAGTTTTCTTTGGAGTTTGCTTCATTTTTCTCCTACAATACGTTTACATGAAGTTTTATCTCAATCTATTTCTGTTACTTATATTTAAGGTGAGGAGTAGAAGACAGTTCAAAAGGGATTTCCTTTGTTTTTCCTCTACCATCCCTTCCCTCCCAATGCTTGATAAGAAATGTACTCATTACCTTGCTCATGTAACTGTAACCCCTCTCTAAGGGGAAGGGAGGATTTCCTAGTTTTGTGGCTCTAGGGCTCCCTCTTCTGGTTTTAAGTGGAACAATTAAAAACATGGGCTCCTTCCCAGTAGTTTCTGGGAATTACTGACTCCCAGGGCCCCTCCTCCATTAGTATATACTGTAATTTGTTTTTCTCCTTTCAATGACATCAATCAAGTTTTTGGTCTGAACAATTCCTCTTTAGAGTATGACTCTGACCAGAGAGATTTTTATTGGAAATTTCTAAGAGCCCTGAGGACCCAGATCATTCCAGTGGACTCTAACCACCTCTAGTCTCCTTTGCATTCACCCATAAATTTGAGCATGGAAAGTGCTTTCCAGTTTTAATTGTAACCAGACAGGCCCACACTTCTTTACTCCCAGTAGAGACTGTTCCTTTAAACAGTAAAGATTGGTGGGGAATTTCTGAGCTCCCTACAGTTAAATGGTTAAAATGATCACTAGCCCTCTCTTATTCCCTGCACAGCCACTCTTCTTATTCCTAAGTCCCAAGCTGTACTGAGATACTATATAAGATTGTTTTAAGTCTGTGTTTTCTTTTTCTTTTCTTTTCTTTTTTTTTTTTTTTGGTCGGTCGTGGGGCTTGAACTCTGGGCCTGGGTGCTGTCCCTCAGCTCTTCAGCTCAAGGCTAGCGCTCTACCACTTGAGCTACAGCGCCACGTCCCTGTGTTTTCTTCTTATCCTGTCCTGTCTCTCTAAATTTGCTAGAAATTAAGAGAGATTTCAAATGACACTGCCTCCAACATGACTTCCTTTTCAAAAGTGTAATACATTTATTGAGAATCTTCAAAAAATAGATTTGAAACAGGGCACCAGAGGCTCATGCCTATAATCCTAGCTACTCAACAGGCTGAAATCTGAGGATCATAGTTCGAAGCCAGCCTGGGCACAAAAGTCTGTGAAATTCTTATCTCCAATTAAATCACAGAAAAAGCCAGAAATGGCAATGTGGCTCAAGTGGTAGAGCACTAGCCTTGAGCAAAAAGAGCTCAGGGACGGCACCCTGGGCCCAGAGTTTAAGCCTTGGGCCTGTCCAAAAAATCAAGCCCCTGAAAACAAAGTTGAAAAATGTTTTCTATATCATGATATAATCCAACATCAGCAAGGTTCATGCCTATCAGCTATAGTTCTTTAAGGACAAGCCATTTTCATAACACAGTATCCTTCAAATATAATTTAGCACATTGTACAACAGGAAAACTCTTTAGGAGTGAGGCTTTTAAAAAGTTATTTTCTGTTGTAATGGGTCCAACAATGAGATGTACAAGACATTATGTCGAAAAACAAACTTTATAACTTTGGTGGGTTGGGGGGGTGGGGGAGTGGAGAGGGGAAGGGATGGTATGGGGAAAACAAAGGAGGGGGCAACAATGCTTGATAAGAAATGTACTCACTATCTTGCCCATGTAATTGTAACCCCTCTGTATGGTATTTTCACAATAATAGTAATAAAAAATAAAAAAAGTTATTTTCGGATTCTTTGTTACATGAATAATATTTGTGGCTTCTGATATTTAAAAAAAAACTTTAGTAGTTTACCACTTTGTGGACAAAATTTGTCTTGTTTTCAACCCAAGTGTCAGAGAAAATTACCAATGATAATAACAGTACCAACTACTGAGGACTTACCATGAAGCAGAAACTATGCTATATTACAATCTCATTAGTCCTCAGGAAAGCCTATAAGGAGTAGTATTATTACTTCTCCCAATTTAGGGGTCTAGTCTGAAGGACTACTCTGTACTACAGCAAAAGTCAGTGGCTAAACAAAAAAGAAGTTTCACTTGTCACTCCTATCATACATCTATCATAGGTTGGCACAGCAGACATTTGTCCATTGCAATAAACATAGATGTGCAAGTATCTCAACTGTACATCAACTTATTATCCTTTCAATATACCTCCAGGCCTGGCATGGCAGGATGGTATAGTAGGTCTATTTTTAACTGTGTGTGTGTGTGTGTGTGTGTGTGTGTGTGTGTGTGTGTGTGTGTGTGCGTGTGTGTGTGTGTGTGTGTGTGTGTGTGCTGGTCCTGCAGCTTGAATTCAGGGCCTCTACCACTTGAGCCAAAGCTTCACTTCCAGTTTTTTCCCCCTTTTTGGGAACTTAACTGAAGATAAGAATCTTACAGACTTTCCTGCCTGGGCTGGCTTTGAATCGTGATCCTCAGATCTCAGCTTTCTGAGAAGCTAAGATTATAGGTGCAAGCCACCAGTACCTGGCTTTTATTTTTATTTTTTCCACCAACAGTGTTTAAGGGTTCATTTTCCCTTACAAACATTAGCTGTTGCTTATTTTTCTTGATGATATCCATTCTGACTGAGGTAAGGTACAATCTCTGTGAAGTTTTGATTTGCACTTCCTTGATAATGCCACCATTTTCTGAACATGTACCTCAAATAGTCATGAAGACTGACCTGCATTCGAAGACCCACTAATACCTCTAATCACCGAATTCCGTAGCTTAAATCACCTGCTTTTCTAAATCTCATAAATAGTTCCAAACTCTATGCTGAGAGAGGTAGATTGAGACCTCAGTCTCCCACCTCCACACTCAGCTGTCTGGCAAATACAATCTTTGCTTCTGCAAAACTTGTTCAGAGATTGGCATACTTTGCTGCAAGCAGAATGGGCTCGGTTCACCACGATTCTTGAATTCTGCACTGAATTTTAATCTATTTTATGACTCAAGTTTTCAAACAAAGATTTTTTTAGAAGGCTAGTAAAACACTTTGAATTTAACAAAATACATTTTACATTTCAGAAAGATTTACATTTAAAAAGCAGTTAAAGTTAATGTCCAAATGGCTAATAAGTTAAAACGTTCAAATTTCTGGAACCTTCATTTATACAAAAAACTGCTGTGTCAAACTCTACAAGCTAAATAAAAATGATACTGCATCTAATGCCTTCCATTATTTTCTCCCATAGGATAGACCCAATAAAGGGAAGTAAACAATTACATAGACAATGTGGAAGAAATAAGCCTTCGTATCGAACTAAATGAAGCAACTAATAGCTCAGAAAGAGTATCAGTAATCTTTGTCACATGAACCTCCCTTTACTACTAATAAGAAGCTAAATAATGAAGCTATTGAAAACATAGATTTTTCAGGCAGCTAAATAACCTTTCTCATATCTATGTAGGGTCTATTTCTCAACAGACTTTCACATGGAGACAGTCATAGACAGAACAATATTAAAATCACAAAGCTGCTTTTCAGGGTTCTGTTTAGAAACATGCTTGGGTAGTGAGGATCAGTTATTTATCTTTTAAAGAAACACAGTAAAACAAAAACAATTTGCCTGCATCAGATGGACACAGAGGCCAACATAACTAGCAGATGCCATGCCCAAGGCTTTACATGTAGTATGGCATTTGATTGTCACAATAGCCCTAGGAAGCAGGGACCATTATACCCACTGGATAAAACTGATGGAAGGAGAGAAGGAGGGCCTGGGCTACCTGTTCATTGACTAGAAGAGCTAGTTACTTAACCTGAGGCCCACAACTCCACATTCTATCTTTACTTTCATGAACCAGAGTGCCTAACCTGGTTAGGCCACACCTCCATACTAATTTACTGGGGGTGTTTGTGAGACAATATACAGTTAAGAAAAGTCATTTTTGGAACATTGAGATTCTTCAGGACCATACAACTGCTCCCCCAGTGCTGTGTTGTCCAATGTTTAGCCATTAATCACAAATAAAATTGCCTAACACTAAATGAAATCCAAAAATCAGCACTTCCCATCACATTTCAAGTATTCAGTAGCAGCCTGTGAACTGAGTGCTGGTGGCTCACACCTGTAACCCTAGATACTTAGGAGAGTGAGATCTGAAGATGGAGGTTCAAAGACAGTCTGGGCAGGAAAGTCCTTGAGACTCTTTTCTCCACTTAACCACCAGAAAACCAGAAGCAGAGCTGCTGATAGTGGTAGAGCCTTAGCCTTCAGCAAAAGAACTCTGGAAAAGTATCCAAACTCTGACTTCAAGCCCCAAGACAAATAAAAATTAAAAAAAAAATAACCTATGACTAGTGGTTGCCAAAATGGATTGAGAAGATTATAGAACATTCTATCTTACAGAAGATCTATGAGATAACATGAATCCAGAGGATCCCCAAAAGGCATGGTCAAGTGGAAAATGCTGATAACTTTTAAGATTATCATTGTAAATAATACCATTGACATAATGCATCATTATTAATAACATATCAATATATCATCTGAAATAATATACAATGATGCATTGTACTATTTATTATACAATGTATCATTGTATCATTGTATGAGTTTCCACTGATGAATAGATCAGTAAGCAAAATGTCTTCCATCCACATGACAGTATCATTCAGCCTGAAAAGAAAGAAAATGTTGCTAGATATAACAATGTGGACAAACCTTCTAGACAGGATGCTAAGTGAAATAAAACTATCACCATAAGACAACTATTTACTATACAACAATACATTGTATAATATATCATTGTTACTGAGCATTGAAGCCATTGTAAAGTCCTTTCCCTCTCCACAGTCAGGAAGGACCAGTCCTTTCTCCATATGTTCTTTCCCAAGATGAACAGTCAGCCTTTTAGGATCCTCCTTGCCTCATAGATTCTCAGGTCCCTTATAGAAAGTAGTATAGGTTTTGCATATAACATACCCTATTGTACACTTTTAAATCACATATTCATTACTTATAATATAAAGAGATTTAAGACTAGAAAACTATATCACAATTGGAAACTACACAGGAATATTACAAAAATGGGGTTTACAAATTCAACTGCATTCTCTACAGGTATTCATTTATGTTTCCACTAAGAAATAGTATTACTTAAAGCAAATGATAGGTTTCTCCAAAGCACACAATACTGAGAAAGAAGACAATCTAAGGGTAAAACTTAGATCCAAATTAGTCATTCTAAAACACGGGTGGCGGGGGTGAGGGGAGCTAAACATAGATAGAAGGTAGAGGCTGAAATCTGATCACTGTGATTCGAATCCAGCCCAGGCTGGAAAGTCTGAGATTCTTTTTTTGGGGGGACGGGGGTCCAGTCGTGGGGCCTGAACTCTGGGTGCTGTCCCTCAGTTCTTCAGCTCAAGGCTAGCGCTCTACCACTTGAGCCACAGCACCACTTCTGGCTTTTCTCTTTTTGCTTATGTGGTGCTGAGGAATCGAACCCAGGGCCTCAGGCATGCAAGGCAAGCATAAGCCACTGAGCCAACTTGCCAGCCCCAAGTCTGAGATTCTTATCTCCAATTCTCCACCAAAGTAGAGCTGTGGCTCAAGTGGCATAGCACCAGTCCTGAGCAGGAAAGCAAAATGAGAACATGAGGCTGAGTTCAAACCTCAGTATCTGCAAAAATAAATAAATAGACAAGTACAATATGATTTTACAAACCTGAGGTATATATAGTAGTCAAGTTTATAGGGACAGAAAGAGAATGGTGACTGCTAGGGGCTGAAAGGAAGATAAAAGGGGATCTATTTTTTAGGGGACATGGTTGTATAACATGTTGAAGTACTAAAGCTTTGGTTGCCTAATGATGTGAAAAAACTCTAGTGAACTGTATACTTTAGAAATAATTAAGATGCATAATAGCCAAGTTATGGAAACAGCCAAGATGCCCTACAATAGATGATGAGTGTATAAAAAATGTGGTAGCTGTACACAATGGAATTTTGCACAGCCATTAGAAAGCATAATATTGTCATTTGCAGGGAAATGGATGGACCTAGAAAAAATCATGTTAAGCCATGCTCAGACAAACAGCACATGTTTTCTCTCATATGCAGAAATCAGATCTAAAGTACACTGGGATATGATAAATTATACAGGACTCTAGGCATTCACACACAGTGAGACTAATGTCTCTCTGCCTCTGATCATATAAAATAATATTTATCAAAATGAACTCCAGGAAATGGAAAGAGGAGAGATTTTTCTTTGGTTTGTCTTGCTCGTTCATTTATTTCTCTTTGGGAGAGTAAGGAGAGGCACAGAAATGGAGGGACAAAGGGTGAACAAATGCAGCAGTGGTACTCAGTAGACACTGTTGAAAATGAACTATACAATCTGTGGGTGGAGCAGAGGGAAAAGCGGGAGAAGAGCGAAGGAAGAGGTAATTTATGAAACTGTAACACCTCTGTGCTTCACCATAATAACAATAAAAATATTTTAGAAATAAATAATTAAGATGGTAAGTTCTATCTTGTGAATTTTTGTGGTGGTCCTGGGGTTTGAACTAAGGATTCAGGTGCTGTCCCTGACCTTTTGTGCTCAAGGCTAGTGCTCTACCACTTGAACCATGTCTCTACTTCTGAGTTACTGTTTCCACTTTGTAGAAAATTGGAGAGAAAAGTCTCGCAGATTTTTCTGTACAAACTGTCTCTGAACTGCAATCCTCAGATCTCAATCTCCTCAGAAGCTAGGATTGTAGGCATGAGCCACCTGCATCTGTCTTACGTTGAATTTTTACCCCAATAACAAACTAATAAAAAGTCTAAGTCAGTATTCCATTTTTCCTATTGCAAAAAAAAGTTCATGACTGTTCTGAACTCTGTAAGATTTAAATAATAGAAAACCATAATGTTTGAGCTAAATATGCAAATACCTGGGTCAGTTGCAGAGATAATTGCTCCAAAAAACAAACAATCTGTGTAGTAAAATTTATCAGAGAGCTGGCCCACAATCTTCATAAGCTTCACCACGCCATACATGAGATTTCTGTAAGAAAGAAGGTAAAGAATGTCAAGAGAACTGTTTGCAAGCATGCAAGCAGGAGATCTGTAAAAATAATAGGCAGTGGATATAGCTAGACACTTACTAGGACTACAGGCAAGTAGGACTTTAGTACCAAGTAAAGGCTTGTAGCTAACTCCATTATACTGAAACACATAGCTACCTCAGTTTTACAGCTGTGCTAACTAACCAGAGCAGCAACAAAATTAAGGTCTCTTAAACCACTGGATAATAGGAAGAAATAGGAAAGATAGACCTCAAAATTATAGGTAAGAAATTGCTAGAAAACACAGACAAGAATAGTATATTTCAAATCACAGGGATAGTGGGTGGGAAGAAACTGGAGAGAAATGAATGGGTTAGTCACAAACAGCCTAGTAACTGACCTATTGTTTATCACCTTCTCTACCCAGAATGATAGTAATGGAGGGAGAAGAGGCAAACCTCTGTAAACGTCCTGTTGAAACTTCTGAGTCCCATCAACCAATATGGACAATTGCTTTGCCTGGAGTACAGGTAGAACAGGGCACACACCCCACAACAGCCCTTTCTGTGTTATGTATAATATAACCTAGTACAACAGGAAGTACCAAGTTCATCTTTTTTGTCAGTCCTGGGGCTTGAACTTGGGGCCTTGATGCTGTCCCTGGGCTCACTTTTGCTCAAAGCTAACACTCTACCACTTTGAGCCATAGCTTCACTTCCAGTTTTCTGGTGGTTAAATGGAGATGAGCATCCCATAGACTTTCCTGCCTGGGCTGGCTTTGAGCCTCAAACCTCTGATCTCAGCCTCCTGAGTAGCTAGGATTATAGGCATGAGCCGGCACCAGGCTAAGGTCAATTTTTCAGCTCAGCCTGGACATATTTCCTACATGACAGCTTAGAAAATGTGAACAGTGAGGGATGCTAAAAAATAAAAAAGGACTAGCACATGTTACAAGTGTGTGTGTGTGTGTGTGTGTGTGTGTGTGTGTGTGTGTGTGTGTGTTGGCAATAGCAGTGGTAACATCAAAAAAGGACTACACGTTACAAGTGTGTGTGTGTGGGGGGGGGGGGGGCAATAGCAGTGGTAACATCCAAAAAGGACTAGCACATATTATATGTGTGTGTGTGTGTGTGTGTGTGTGTGTGTTGGCAATAGCAGTGGTAACATCAGCTGCAGATGTTAGGAAAGTAAAAACAACTGTGGGGTTTACTTATTGTACCCACCAGCTAAGCCTTGATAATTTGAGATTTGTAATGAGGAAGGACTGACCATTCACTGTGTACCTTTATATCCTAGATGCTGACACCAGTAGATTGGCTAAGCTAGGAATCCAAGAAGGATCTGCAGAATAGAATCCTTATGAAGAAAACTGGCTAGAATTGAATGCTTGCCTCATGTGAGCTAGGCACTCTTCCAGACACTTAACAAGTCCAATTTCAGTCCATAGCAACTTCGTAGTAACTGATTTGATTTGCTCTTTGTTGCTCCTCAAAGGCTTCTTTCACCTATCTTTCAAACATTTCCAGAAACTAGACCTTCCCCTACATTTCCTTTCAGCACAATCTAAGACCTGGGCAACAGACTTCTCTGGTGGACTTTCCCCATCTTGCCTCCCCTTGCCACTAATATATGCTGGGCAGACTGTTGCTCTTTAGAGACATGTCACCTTGTAAACAATACATTCTGTACCTCTCCTTTTAAAAAAATAAAATAAAAAGCCCTTAAAATAAATAAATAAAAATCTCTTGTTCTTAATCTCTAATATTTTTTAATAAAAATTCTGGGATGGGCATGATAGCTCATGGTCTTTAATCCAAGCTACTCAAAAGGCATAGATCAGGAGGATGTAGTTAGAGGTCAACCCAAGCAAAAAGTTAACGTGATCCTTATCTCAACAAATAAGCCAAGTATGGTGGCACTTGCCTGTTTTCCTAGCTACATGGGAGAGAAAAAGAGGAGGATCATGGTCCAGGCTAGCCTAAGCAAAAAGTATGAGACTGTATCTGAAAAATAACTAAAGCAAAAGAGCTGTAGGAATGGCTCAATTGGTAGAGTGATTCTGACTAGCCAGCATAAAGTCTTGAGTTCAAAACTCAGTACTACAAAAAAATTAAAATTAACTTATGATTTTCATTATTTCCTTAGTTTTACTTAATGCTCTTTTCTATTTCAGGATGCCATCTAGGCTATAACATTACTTTTAGTTATCTAATCTCTAAATTTAGTCTTCTCTTGATTATAACAGTTTCTCAGACATTGCTTGTTTTTAACAACGTTGGCAATTTTGAATAGTACTGGTTAGATATTTTGTAGAATGACTTTAAGGTGAAGTTTTCTTGCTTTTTTTTTTTCCTAATGGTTACTGAGGTGATGTTCTGGGGTAGAAGACAAGAAAGGTAAAGTGCCCTTCTCATCACAAATATTGCGAGCACATACTAGCCAGACCAGTATTACTATAACCCTAGCTACTTGAGAGGCTGAGATTGGGAAGATTGTGGTATGAGGCTAGCCTGGCAGAAAAGTTTGAGAGACCCCTTCTCAATGGCTAGCTGAACAAAGTAGCATGTCTGTTACCCTAGGTAAGTAGGAAAGAAGTCTAACATAGTGGATCATGGCCACAGCATGTACACAGGGAAGTGAGATTCTATCTGAAAAATAACCAGCAAAATCTGAGCTGGAAGCATCACTCAGTGATAAGAGCACCTACCTAGTAAGCATAAGGCCCTGAGTTCAAAGCCTAGTATCGACCTCTCAAAAAACCAGTACATGGTTCATCTCCACTGATGTTGATCACCTGGCTCAGCTTTCTCCATTTAGAAACTACACTTCCTCTATACTCTTTGGAGAAATAACTATGAACTCAAAACTAAGTTCTGTGAGGGGCTAGAATAGGGGGACTACATTCTATGTCCTTGAAAGGAATGTATCTTTTTTTAAAAAGCCTACATTTGGAAAGTAGCACAGGACACCTGTCTCTTCTCCTCCACTGATTTATTCATCTAAACATTTAACTATATCAGTGTGGTCTCAAGGGTATTTCTTTTATACTTTGGGTGATGATCTACTAGAAAGCGATTTATTTGTTGTTTAGCCAGAGTGGGGCCCTGGCTATTATGGGGGGGCTTTAAGTTGCCTCTACTGTCCCCTTGAAAAGCCCTACATCCTTCCACTTGTCTGAATGTCTTCTAAGTACTTGATTTTTTTTTCCTGAGTCACAAGATGCCCCATCTACATATACATTTCCTGTCCCAGCTCTGGAATATACCATTTCTACAAGGGTCTCTCACTCTTTTTATTGGAGAATGACACTAGAAATCAACATCTGGGAACTAGGAGCTATTTTATTTCATTTTAGTTAATCTTAATTGTAATCAAAATAGCCACATGTGTCTAACATCTCCAGTACTGGCACACAACATCTGGACACCAGACTGTGGGTAATCACACAGATCTCATCCCTTTCGGAAATTGAGTTAATTGACTTGTATGACCAAGATTCACTTACCCAATAATGAAGCAGGAAACTGCAGTTCCCAAAAAAGCATAGGCCAGAATAGAGCCAAGATTTCTGAAAAAATGTCTCTGAATAAGACAAAACAAAACACACAGCAATTATATTGTGATTTTCACAGTTAGCATAAGAAGCACTTTATGAGTTTCTAAAACCTGAAAGCCCAGCTGGGGTCATAGTTCAAGTGGTAAAGTACTTGCTTAGCATGCACAAGGTCCCAAGTTGCATCCTTAACACCACACCAAAAAATCCCTGAAACTCTACCTAGTGTTTCTATTACCACAAGTAATATCTGAAGTGACTCTGAATAATGCTGTAAACATCATGGTTTTAAAATATTCTGTGCACTGTCAATCACTGAGCAAGTGAGCAAGGGCTTAGTAAATTTTCAGACAAAATTACTCTGGTTAACTATATTAAATTATATTGAGGGCTGGGAAGGTGGCTCAGTGGTAGAGCACTTGCCTTGAATGCCTGAGGCCCTGGGTTCAATTCCTCAGCACCACATAAGCAAAAAGAAAAAAGCTGGAAGTGGCGCTGTGGCTCAAGTGGTAGAGTGCTAACCTTGAGCTGAAGAGATGAGGGACAGCGCCCAGGCCCAGAGTTCAGGCCCCACAACCGGACCCCCCAAAAAAAAATTATATTGAGTGTGAGTGTGTGTGTGTGTGTGTGTGTGTGTGTGTGTGTGTGTGTGTGTAAGAGAGAGAGAGAGAAAATGAGAGCCTTTTTTGTTTGTTTGTGTGTGTGTGTGTGTGTGTGTGTGTGTGTGTGTGTGTGTGCTAGAAAGGTTGGCACTCTACCACTTGAGCCACACCTTGCCTTTGGTCTGGTTAACTGAAAATAAGAATTTCTCAGATGTGTCTACCTGGGCTGGCTTTGAACTAGGATCCTTATATCTCAACCTCTCCAATAGCTAGGATTACAGGTATGAACCACTGGTGCCCACCAAATAAATCCATTCTACTCCATGACTCAGTCAGTCACCTTTAGTTCTAACGGTACCTTAGAAGATCATGATAGATAACTTTGAAACAAATAGGGGAGGAAAATGCCACCAAATGGGGTTCCTGATTAATTCAGTATCAGAAAAGAGTGCAATATATACTCATGTACCCCGCAGCATCTACATATATTCATCTGGATTCATCTTTGAAACCTGGGAAAGAGGGACAGATAGAGATCACAATGGAGAAAAAGGAATAGGAAGTTATTGCCATTTGCTGGCTTTGTGACACATGCCAGTAATCAACAAGCTGAAGAAGATGAAGTGGGAGGATTGTGAGTTTACTTAAGGCCAGCCTGTGCTACATTATGTAAGATGAGTCAAATACATACAGTAAGAAAAACTAATATAAGATTCTACAATAATTGATTAAGCGATGTCAAAGCTACAATCTCCTTGATGCTTCTGCACATTCTTTGGTTACTTTAACACACAGATCTACTATTCCCAGTCGTGAGGCCTGTAGGACATGCTGAGGGTATGGAGTTACTTATGCCTGTTCTTGAGATACTGAGCCATGGTTCTCACTTCTCTAGGTAAAAGTTATTCTCATTTGAAATTCAGTACTACTTAACAAAACAGATACACAAACCTCCCAAATATCCTAATGAAGTAAGGGCCAGGAACATTTGAGCTAAAAAATTTTAGATATTTTTATCATCTTTAAATAGTTGTACAGGAGTTGCCATTGAACAAAACAGTTTATGAATCTTGATGAATGTCCTCCCTTTCAACATTCTCACCCATCCCTCCCAACCTACCCTTTCCTTCATCTTTTTTAAAATTTTGTAGGATATACATTGAAGTTTTGTTTTAAAAAGGCACTGGAGTCAGTTGGACAGCATCAGGGAAAAACAGAGTATAAGAAAGAAAGGTCAGGCCAGCATCAAGAGCCAAAATGAACTATGAGGAGACAAAAGATGCAGGTATCCTGTGACCTGTGTCACAGACAGAGGGGATGAGACTTTGGCTTCAGCCTTTCACAATGCTTGTCCTTGTCTGAGGCAGTAAAAATGTCAAGCAACATCGAGTACCCTCTAAGTACCTGCTCAGAAATGAATCTTCAAGGGCTTGCCATGCCGACAGTCACCAAATGGGGGCGCTGCCTGGACACATTATAGACACATAATTATGTTTACATAGTAAATTTTTGTTTATCCCCAGTGTTTTTAAGTTAAAGAGGTTTTTAAAAGTATATTAGCTTTTTAAGATAATTTCAAAATACGCCAATATTTTGGGGAAAAAAGTTTAAAAAATAAGGGAGTTGGGCTAATAAGGAAGATGAATGGAAGATGAATGTGGTCAAAGTAGTTTGTTTGTATATATGAAACTACAACAATGCAACTGATGAAATTGTTTTAGGAAGGGAATAAGGGAGTATGGGAGAGTGATAGAGAGGGTGGAATTACTTGGAATACATTGAATACATGTGTCACAACAACCCCCCTCATTAACTAATATATGCTAATAAAAAGTTATTCTGTAGAAAAATAAATTACTGGGAGTGACTTCCCTTTAGAAACTCCATCAGGGCTTAAATCAGAGAGTGTAAGGAGTGGTTCAGGATGAGTGATGAGACCAATGACACTCGTGAAGTATCCAGAAACAAATTTCAATCCCAGGTGTACTTTCCCTTGTCACTCAGCATTCTTTTGGGCAACCATCACAATGAATAATGTAAATAGATAGCTGGATAGATAAATAGATAGATAGATAGACAGACAGACAGACAGACAGACAGACAGACAGACAGACAGATAGATAGATAGATAGATAGATTCATATTCATGGTATTAGCCAAAGCATAAAATTAGAAGTGTAAATCTACCACTAAAAATACATTAATTACATATTCTAGACTCCTCCCTCTCTGTCTCTCTCTCTCATACACACAACACACACACACACACACACGCTATTCTTCTCCCATTCATATCTGCTGACAAGAATGGGAATTTAATTACACTTTGAAGAGATAGACCATTTGTTTGTGTACTATATTTAGCATTTAAATGTATACTTCATAGTTCACAGTGTATTTTCACATATACTTGCTTATCCAGTTCTCATAATGCTCCTACTACAAAGCTGTTATTTGAACCATTTTATGTGAGAGAAACTGAAAGCTTCTGAGTTTTCTAAAGTCTCCCTCCACTAAACCACAGCCCCAGAACTGGAGAGTCCAGTACATTACACACTCAACACGAGCCACCCTTCTAGCCACTTCCTCTATCTACACGAGTTCAGTACAGGGAAAAAAAATGCTACACTGCTTGCCTATTCTGACTTGGCTGCAGCCATGGCTGCTGCAGTTTCCCTTAGATGTCATTTTCAGATATAGATGGCAGGAAGAGACAGAAGGTGATGGTAGCATGTCCTAGTAAAGCCTTCAAGAATCTAAACCTAAGAAAGGTCAGAAACAGAAAGTTTGCTATTGGTGAAACCTAACTGGCTTCCCAATTCCTAGATTATTAGTCTAAGCTTTATGCTCCTCTTCCTTGGGAACCTTTATGCTTTCCTGTTCTCCACTGACAAGGTACAGTGTATGTTGTGTGTATGTGTGTGTATGTGTGTGCTTACATGCGCACACACGTGCACATATGTCCATTTGATGCAGAAGTTCACCAAAATGACAACTTCTGGGCAGGATTCATTATAATATTTCATACATGTATATAGTGTACTTTGATCATATTCACCGCCCCCCACCATTACCTTCATTGTCCCTATTACTCTCTCCCTCTCACTGGTTCTCTTCCTTTGCCAAAATACTCACCCAAAATGGAACCTCCTTTATATTCCTTTGCCAGTACCCTTAAGCAAACCTTGAATAGTCACTCCAAATCAAAGCTAATCTCAGTGGTCAATTTTTTCAAGTCAACAAAAATGACCCATGTCTCCAAGGAGACTATATGGATGTGGGTCAAATGGTATGAATATATCTGCTTGTAAGTCATAATGTACATGATGAAATATATTACGTATTTAATTGACAATATGTTTGATCAGAAATGACAATTACAGTAAGGTAGTGCACTTATAAGCATGTTTTTTTTTTCTTTCTTGTGCCAGGGCTTAAACTTAGGACCTTGTGGTCTTGCTCAGCTTGCTTGCTCACACCTAGCCTGAGATACACCACCTCCAGCCCAGTTGTTTTTTTTTTTAAATTTCGTTTTCCTGGTTAATTTGAGATGGAGTCTTTTTTTGCCCAAACTGGCTTCAAACTATGATCCTCTGAATCTCAGCCTCCTAAGTACCCAGAATTACAGGTGTGAGCTACTAGCCTTTGATTAGGGCTAATTTAAAAGGAAAGAGAGTAAGTATGTAACAAAACAACCTAAACTGGGACCTGGCAAAATCGGTAATTTGTTTCCTTTTGAGAAAATTGTTGATAAAAGGAAAATTCTACAAAATAAGGGGTTTCTCAGTAGATAGAGTGTATTTCCCAACCAATGAATTGGTTTCATTTTAAGGAAACTATAACTTTGATCATATATTGATTAGTTATTCAAATACAAGGTTATTCTCATTCATTTGATCTAAAGGACAGTTCCTCGATTCCCTATTTAGGTAAAGAATAACATTACTTATATCCCTAATAATCTCCTATTATATATCATTAGATGATATAAAGATTCAGATGATTTGGGAGGCTACATAGGAAAACAAGATTTTTTAATACAGAACATAAATAAAAAATTCAGTGGCAGTGCACAACCCTGGGCTCTGGAGTCAAACAGGGAGGGCATAACTTTGACTCAGTCCAGCATAGTCTAAGTAACCTCACCCACATCATTGTAACTGAGTTTACTTTCATCATCTGGGAAATGCAACACACATTGGAAATGCATGTGCACAACCTCCTGCTTCTTGAGTATCCATCTTGGACAGAGCCCTTGGGTTCCATTCCTTTCCCCTCTCCTCTTCTGCACTGAGTGTGATGCTAGAAGGAGGCATCACTTGATCTATAAAGGGGGAATGGAACCAAGTGCAAATGACCTACACCTGTAATCCTAGCTACTTAGGAGGCTGAGATCTGAGGATTTCAGTTCAAAGCTAGTCTGGGCAGGAAAGTCCATGAAACTCATCTCCAATTAACCACCGAAAAATAAAAAAGGTGTAAAGTTCTGTACTTGAGCACAAAAAACTCAGGGACAGCATTCAAGTCCCAAGTTCAGGCCTCAGGACTGACACGAAAAGGAAATGGAAAGGAAAAGGGAAAGGGAAAGACAAAACTTTACTGGTTGACCCTGACTTGTAGTCTTGATCCTCTTGTGCAAGAGGTGGGATGGTTCTTGTTCCTTTAGCCTCTATGTTCTCAGGTAAAAAGCAGTTTTTGGCAGCCTAGCAATTTCTACAATCTCTCCATTTCACCCTCCTTATATGGGAGTAAGACAGAGCTTCTGGTTAGAGGACACCTATGTTCAATTCATAAGGTACGTTGCAAGGACCTCAAAATTAAGGCTAAGTCATATATTCCAACAGTGTTGCCTTATGGAGTCATCCAGATTGTGTATCAATAGTTTGTCTCATTTTCTTGAGTACTATTCTGAGGTATAGTTTGGGTTGTTAACAAGATAATTTAAAAGAATAAGGAGTAGAGGTTTTTGTTTGAATGTAAATGTTAATCTCTCTGAGATTAATTCTCAACAGCAAAACTGATGGATTTTGTATGGCATTTCAATGTCAATTTAATAATGAACTTCCACTTGTGTTCTCTAGAGTGTCTGTACCATGTTAACTTCCCATCAGTGGTGTGGAAAAGTTCTAGAATTTAAAGCAGAAGTGATCACTTATGATCAGTCACAGTGTCTGAGTGGGTGCAGAACACAGTAAAAAGCACTCTGAGAGAAGAAAAAACTAAAGAACTATGCAGGTAAATTAACACAGAGATTCATATGTGTTTAAAAAATTACTAGCAAAGCCTTCATACCTTCTTTAAACTGTATCCAGCATGGAAAATAATTGGGGGCAGCAGAATGTTGAAAAATACCTCTGGATCAAATGTTACCTAAACATTTAAAAGAACACAAAACAAAAATTAGTTTTATGCCAACCAATGCTATAACTGTTGTTTAATATTGGAAGCTGCCAAATAAAGTTGAATAATCAGAGCTAATAACATCAATGTGACAAATCATTCCAGGAGAAAAGCCATAAATTCCCCCTTAGGATGGCACACTGTTATCCCCGCAATATTTCTGGCTTAGAATCAGTGAGTTGATTTAATACATAGTAAGACAATAGTTAACAACAATTTTGAGAACTCATAGACAGTTTCTGGCCAATGTGTTTCAACTAGAAATAAAAACTTGAGTTTTTTATCATAGTTTTATAAATGCTTAACTAGACTAAAAATGTCATGATTCTTTACTAACTTTTTAGATATCTCAAATAAGTCTTTATAGAAATAATACTACTGAACCTAAGTCTCTTTTTTGTGTGCTGCTACTAGAACTTGAACTCAGGGCCTGTGAGCTTTTCTAACTCGAGGATGGTGCTTTACTACTTGAACCATACCTCCACTTCCAGCTTTTTGCTGGTTAATTAGAGTTAAGAGTCTCAGATGTCTGGAACTGGAACCCTCAGATCTCAGCCTCCTGAGTAGCTAGGATTACAAACATGAACTACAAGAACTGGGCTTAAATCTGTTTTGAGTGACCAGTCTTCTGAGATACTTGAATTGTCATAAACCTAAGTAATCAGTGAATGTAGTGACTTCCTGACCATCAATTTAAATTAATTCACTATAAAGGGACTGAAATCATCTACAGGATTGACAGAAGGAAATCACTTTGAAACTCTAGACCTCAAAGTCCTATCACACACACTTAGAAAGGAATTAAGCATTCTATAAATATGCTAAACTTTTTGAGGAATTTGTTCATGTGGTTAATTAATTGGTTTTTATTTCAATTAATTATTTTAAACCTTCATTCTAATTATTAAAAGCTTTTTCCCTTAGGAATTGGAGATATTAATCAGCCTAAAAGAAAAGTCATTCTTTCAAATTATATTTTATCTAATCTTCTTTTAAAGTACCAGTAGTCTGCAAAGCTGGAAATGGCCACAATGAGAGCCTGAGACACTACCTTTCCAATAGAGAACTTGGGACTCAAAGAGCTAGGAGCTAAGTACTGATGTCTCACACCTGTAATAAATCCTAGCTTTTCAAGAGGCTGAAATTTGAGGATCATGGTTCAAAGTTAGCCTGGGAAGGAAACGCTGTGAGACTCACATCTCCAACTAACCATCAAAAGCTGGAAGTGAAGGTTTGTCTCAAGTGGTAGATCACCAACCTTGAACAAAAAAGCAGAGAGAGCATCCAGGCCCTGAGTTCAAGCCCTAGTATTGGCACACACAAAAAGTAACCAAACTTAAATATACGAGCTAGCACAAATCCTTCCTGATACCCAATCCAATGTTTTCCCTTGTTACCTTTTTAACCTTGTTACCTCTTCCCTCAATTTTCTCCTACTTTCCCTCCTCCCGTCCCCCAAGTTGTACAGATTGCTTCCAACATATTGTCTTGTATATATCGCTGTTGCATAGGTTCCCCCTTGTCCTTTCACTATTCTGTTGTTCCCCTTCCCTTCCCTAATTCAAATAAACGTATATGCAATACCAAAATCAAACACAGTAACAACAGAGGATATACCATGGGGGGAAGAACTACATAACAACCTTTTAACATAGGAGATTTGAATAAACTTTTTTTGTAAAGATAAAACCTTTTTTCTAAAATCTAAAAGGCAGAAACTCATTGGTATTGTTTCCTTTTCCCTTTCTCTTATACTATCCAATATTAAGAATTCAAGTTGCCACTTCAGTCATTTGTGTGATATTTACCCTGAGGTGTCTCTCTCTGTTGCATTTAACCTTATAAGGCTTATGGAAATTCTTTCTTACCAAATGTTGAGAGTTTGGAGCACAATATTACTGGCACTGGGGACATAGAGAAAATGGTCATGTTTAAGTTGAGATTAATTTTTCTTAATAATTGGTATATTCCAAGAAAAATAGTTTTGGAGCACACCCTACATACTGCCTTTGACTATAAATCTTTACACACTACTAGCCTTACTCCATGTAAGAAGGGGCTCCCCACCATCTAGATCTCCCAGACTGCTATATAGAGACCTTTTGCTGAGAAGTCCTGATCTGTAAGATAAAGGAATCAATACAGATCTCCAGTTTATCCTGGAAGTCACCCACATGAGGATATATATAATCTTTTTATTCTGGAGTATTTTTGCTATGCCAATTGAAAAATGTGCTTGATCTGGGCCTGGTAGTGTATTCCTGTAATTCTAAGAAGATTGTGAATTAGAAGTCAGCCTGGGCTACATAGTGAGACCTTGTCTCAACTTTAAATTTAAATTAATTAAAAATACAAATTCTATGATAAAGCTCCTCTTTTCCCCTTGAGATTTGCTAGATCTTTGAGATTACTTCAAGAGCATTTATGAGCTGACTGCTGGTGACTCACACCTGTAATCTTAACTGACTAGGAGGCTAAGATATGAGAACCATGATTTGAATCCAGCCTGGGCAGAAAAGTGTGGGATACTCCTAGTCCAATTAACAAGCAGAAAGCTAGAAGTGGAAATGTGATTCAAGTAATAGAATTAAAAAGCCAAAGAACTTGAGGCCTGAGTTCAAGCCCTACTATTCACAAAAAAAGTGATTATTAATAAGGTAAGCACTCAAATATCTGTAGAGCATGGCAAAAGAGCAACTAAGAACTAAGAATTTACTTTCTGAGTATTGAAAAATAAGCTAAAAGTGAAATCAGTGTTATTTTAAAAATGAAGCAATCTCATCTCTAAACCACAGCAATGACAAGAGAAATCAGTAAGGAAGAGATGCTGGTTGGAGAAATGAGGTGAGTGGGGATGTACAAACCACTGGACAGTCAGCAATCACCTTATCCACAGATTTTAAACAAGCCCAGGTCAGAAAGTTGAAATGCTCTAGTTAAAATCGGATTCCTTTTTCTCATTGTGTCTACAAAGCTTCCTAGCAAAATTATAAACCAGGAATGTTCCTGCTGTTCCAGGCAATTGGAAGGGTTGCTTTCTATAAGGTCAAGATGGAGTGCAGGAGTCAGTAAGTACATCATGGACAACTACAATCATGGCCAAGGATATAATGGACCATGTTCCTGCTCACCTTCCGCAGCATGTCATTCTGCTCTACACTGTTGATCTTGCCCGGGCTGATTTCTCCCTTCAGAGTGTACTCGAAGAACTTCCCACTGACATTCACTAATAAGGTGCTGAATGCCCTGTCTTCCTGAGTACAGCTCAGCGATTTGTCACGGCCACTGGTAGCAGGGGTGCCATATCTCAGGATCACCCCGACGATGAGCCCTGAAATAGAGTGACAAGAAAAAAATATCAGGCCTGTGAAAGAATCAGGGATGTGGATATAAGATCACTACTGATTTCAGCAACTAAGAAATATGGGGGGAAAATGTAGAAAAGTTAGAAACCAAGTATTTTGGAATACAGTCCTTCAGAAAGGGTAAGCATCACCCTTTGTGGTCTGACATAAGTCCTTAGGCCACCAAAAGGGCAATGGAGAACTGTACCTTGATGGTATACTGGCACCTTGAGCCATTTGGACACCCTCTTAAGTCTCATGTCCTGAGGCTTTTGGTGGAGGAATACAGGATGATAGGCAAAAGAATGATGTTGTTGTTGTTATTTTGTATGTGCTGATATTGGGGCTTGAACTCAGGGTCTGGGCACTCTCCCTGAGCTTCTTTGCTCAAGACTGGCACTGTACCACTTGAACCACAGCTCCACTTTTGGCTTTTTGTGGTTAACTGGAGATAAGAATCTCATGGACATTTCTGCCTAGGCTGGCTTCAAACTGTGATCCTTCAAATTTCAGCTTCCTGAGTAGCTAAGATTACAGGCATGAGCCACCAACACTCAGCTCACTTCTGGCTTTTTAGTGGTTGATTGGAAATAAGAATCTCACAAATTCTTCTGCCCAGGCTGGATTTGAGCTGCAATGCTCAGCCCTCAACCTCTTGAGAGTAGCTAGAATTATAGGCATGAGCCACCGACACCCAGCTCAAAAGAGTTTTTTTAATGCCCAAGACAGCACAAGGCAAAACTACTGCTGAGCCCTTGATTTTTACCACAAGTGTCCCTCAAGCCAGTCCTGTCCTGCTGCCATCTATAGCAAGAATCAGGCCACTGGAATTTCAAGTTACTATAAATGCAAATAGCTTTGCCACAGTCCAGAAGAAGGAAGAAAATAAAATAAATGTTTTTGCTTAGGTCATTTCAAACACTGGGTATCATGGAGAAAGTAATTACACCCCTTGGGAAGCCAAATGCTACAGTGTAAATTTGAGCAGCGATGATTCAGGGGCTGGAGAGCTGGATTTTTAGGGCTGTGGCTATGAGACAGCTCAGATAATCAACTTCAAGTCCTGTAGTCTCAATCCCTTCTTAGAAGGCTTTTTTTCATTAGGGAAAAATAAAAACAACAAAATCGTGTTTCAGCCTTCAATTCTTTGAATGAAGAAGGAGAGTTACTCTCCTGAGTCCTGGGTATGAGTCAGATTTATCCAAGCAAAAGTGACTGAAATCTAAAAAAAAAAAAAAAGACATTAATGCATATCTAACACTTCCTACAACTTTATTCCTCTCTCTCTTAGGATGAAAAGCTCACATTTCTGTTGAAATACAGGTCCTTGCTAGCAATATTAAAGGACAGAATGATAAAAGAAAAACACACTCATCCCCATCTCATTTGTCATGAATGGGCAAAGGGTATACAGCAGAAAAAAAGAATGTTTACTGCATTCTATCTGCTGTAATGCAGATATCTGGATCTTTAATAGTCCCCACTTTGGTACTATTGAGAAGAGATGGAAACTTTCAATAGGCTGGAGGCCCAGTGAGAGAACTTAGGTCACTAAAGATATGCCCTTGAAGGGGATACACGGACCCCAGCCCCTTCCTCTTCCTTTAATATATCCCCATCCATGAAATAAACAGGTTACCCAACACACTCCTGTCATGATGTGCTGTCACAGCCCAACAATAGGGCCAATTAGCCATAGACCAAAACCTTCAGAACCATCACCAAAATAAACTTTTTCTCATTTAGTTACCTTAGACATTTTGTAATAAAAAGCAAACACACTATGAATAAGGTTCTATAATATATCTTGCCATCAAGACAGGAGAACTCATGAGACATTGCTGAAGAGCAAAACATAAGTCAAATCTAGAAAAACACAGTTCTTTCAGCCAGTGTCTGCACAGCATGATTATAATTATCATTATACATCAGTACTAATAGAATATTTGTAGTTGGCTAACTTTTGTGGAAAAAAAAAACCCACATCTTACTAAAAATAAGTTTTGCTGGGCATCAGAGGCTCATGTCTGTTACTCTAGCTACACAGGAGGCTGAGATTGAGTATCACAGTTCAAAGCCAGCTCAGATATGAAAGTCCTTATCTCCAATTAACCAGTAAAAATCCAGAAATGGAGCTGTGGCTCAAGTGGTAGAGCACTAGCCTTGAGCAAAAAAAGCTCAAGGATAGTGCCCAGGCCCAGATTGGCACAAAACAGTTTTACTATTAATTTTAAATGACATTCTAAACCTCTCAACCTGACCAGATAGGAAACACTTAGAAACCTTTTAAAAGTATATAAAAATTCAGACATTAAAAAACCACATTTGTTATTACCAACATGAGATGTTTAGGGAACAATACAAAATCCCATAATCCAGATGTGATTCTAGTTGTTTGGTGAATATACAAAAACACAAACACTTAAGTCTGGTCAGGTCTTCTTGTTGCAATTTCCTTTCCTTTCTTCCTGTGGGGTAGAAAGCAGATGATAGCAGAGACAGGCAACTGACATTTATTCAGCCCTGCCTTGTTTGCTTCAACAATGCCCTTTCCTGAGGCCATCTCCTTGGCTACCTTGGGTAGTTTAGGACTTTATAGGTATCATGCTTATAACTAAAGCTGTGGAATGTACCTACACTGAGGTGGTTGCTGTCCTTGGCATCACTTCCTGGATTGGTCTTTATTGACACCTTAAATAAGGAAAGGGCCTGCAAATCTGGGTCTATAACCCCAATAAATCATCAGTCTCATGGATTCACCTGTCCTCCATCATCTCTCCCTTTAGGGGACTGTGGGGTACTTCTCTGGATAACACCCATAGGCTCCCTGCATATAGCAAGGGAGGAATCATGTTGCCCATGTGCCATGGAGCAGGGGGCATTGATTGAACAGTCCCTGCTTTCTGCTTTCATTCTTCTGCCTATTCTGCTGGTGACTGAGCAGAGGCCCCTGTGATACAGACAGCATCTAACAATTATACTATGCTCTGTAGTTACCACTGGGCACTGAAACTCCACTAGGGCCTTCAAGCATTGCTATCTGTGGTCCCTTTTTCCTTCCACAACATGAAATGCCATTGATTTTTCTGTTTCCTATCCAATGGAGGCATTTTCCAAGAGTTATTCTTTGTGGAAAACTGGTGTACAAATACATTTATTTTGAGTGTCTGTCATTCCTGTTGGGGGAAACCATATCTGTTTCTTAAATTTAATCACTTTACTGTTCCCAAATTTCCATTGCATGAAATGTCTTGTTCCCTTCTGGGGGCTGCCATTCACTCCCTCGTTCTGCCAATGGTGCCAGCCTTGCTGCAATTGGCCCAGGTCATGGTGATGATTACTAAAGACAGCTGCTAGTGGCACCAGGGCTACTCGGGGCTATCTGGGCTTTACATTGCATTCCAGAGGGAACTCTAATGATTTTTGCATGTGTGGTGCTTGTACTGAGTCTTAAACTGGGGTCCTGGGCACTATCTCTTAGCTTTTTTGCTCAATGCTGACACTCTACTACTTGAGCCACACCTCCAATTCTGGCTTTTTACTGATTAGAGATGAGTCTCACCGACTTTCCTGATGTGGTTTGCTTCAAACCTCAATCTTTGGATCTCAACCTCCTGAGTAACTAGGATTATAGGTGTGAGCCACAGGCATCTTGCTTCTAATGTGTTTTTGTTTTGTTTTTTTGGTGCTGGTCCTGGGGCTTGAACTCAGGGCTTGTACACTCTAATGTTTCTTGTTCTCATTTCACACCGTTGTAGGCAGTTATATTCTGAGGGTTTACGTGACAAAAGGGATCCCAGGCCAGGTGTCAGTGGATCACACCTGTAATCCTAGCTACTCAGGAGGCTGAGATCTGAGGATCATGGTTTAAAGCCAGCCCTGGCAGGAAAGTCTGTGAGACTCTTATCTCCAATTAACTACATGAAAACTGGTAGTGGAACTGTGGCCAAGTGGTAAAACACTAGCCTTGGGCAAAAAAGCTCAGGAACAGTGCCTAGGCCCAGAGTCCAAGCCCTATGACCAACAAAAAAAAATAGTTTCATGTATCTCACAGTTTCTTGACTTTCCCAACTTTATTAATAGCAGAGCTAGGGGAAACCAAAGTCATACCAACATTTACAGACAAATTCCTCAAGGAATGTATATGCTCTTATAATCTTTCCCAGTAACCATCATGATCATCTTTTGTGTGTGTGGTAGTGGTATTGGGGTTTGAATTCAGGGCTCTGCATTTGCTATGAAGGCCCTTTATCACTTGGGCCATGCCTCCAGCCCCATCTAGAATCATTGTCAGATGATGAATATTGTTTTTGTAAAATTACGAAACCTTTCAGTCTCTACCCTGGGCCCCAAACACCCATATTATAGATGTGAGACAGTGAGGGTTATGATGCTGCTGCCCTTTTAGGGTTAAGCACGTTAACATACAGCACCCCAGTAAAGATGGTCACAGAAATGGAGGGACAAAAGGTTCAGCAAATGCAGCAGTGGTACTCACTAGGCACTATGTTGAAAATGACTTATTCAACTTGTGGGTGGGGATGGGAGGGAAAAACGGGAAGAGGGGAGGGGTAATATTGTCCAAAAAGAAATGTATGCCTTACCTGACTTATGTAACTATAACCCCTCTGTACACCACCTTTATAATAATAATAAAAATATAAAAAGAAAAAAAGGTGAAAGCCATCCCATTAGCTCTGACCAAAACCATACCAAGCCACAGGGGATGTCATTAACTGAAGGTACAATATGAGCAACTCCGCAAACATTTTCCATTTTTATTTATTACTAGTATATTCCACAGCATCATATTAAGTTCACAGATAGTGTTTTCAGCTTGAAGAAAGACTAAGATGTCAGGAATGCAGAGGGATACTTTGGTGAGAAAATTATAAAGACTGGAGAGAACATGAACAGCAGATTTGATAGGCTCTGATGGAGCCTGTGTCAGGAAGTTGAAAACAGACTATAAACTAAAAATTCACAC